CTCCTGCTCCTCTCAAGACTCCCAGCATTCATTTCTTCAGCAGGCTGGGGAATCAGTAGCAGTGCTAGTGAGTGAAAGAAAAGAATGCTGGAAACAGAGAACCAAGGGCTCACATTAAAGAAATGACCTTCAGCGACATGATTGTAGTATGAAAGGCCAGATAATACTAACATCTGTGAAATCAAATCAAAATGCAAACAGGCTTTTGGCCTCCCTAATCCATGTTTCTGGATATGACACAGATATGCAGTTCCTTAACAAAGTAAGAATGAAAGACGGTGTCAAGTATAGGGAATGGTTCTTATCCCATATGGTATTCAGCCCTGGAAATGGCTTCTGGCTCTAGGTCACTTAAAAGTCTAGAGCTTGCTATCAGTCTGAAAATGGTGATGTTGTTTTGGAGGGGCTCTGAAGGACGGGAAGGATGGCCCAGGCCAGGCCCCTCTTTTCTCTTGCCTTATCCCTGGTGCCCATTAAGGCCATGCTGGAAGGAAAAGGTTCTGATCAGATAATAAGAGTTACTACTTCTGGAGCCCATACTACCTGTCAGGTACTGTCTTAAGTTCTTTACATATATTAATTTACTCCTCTAACCAAACACCCCTCTGAAGGGAGTACTAGTATTACAATGGGAAACCCAAGCACAGAAAAGCTAAGTTACTTGTCCAGGGTCACACAACCACTGGTGGGACTGAGATTTGAACCTAAATCCTCAGCACCCAGAGACTTGCAGTACTGTTCTTTAGTGGGCCTTCGGGCCAACTCTCTGCTTACCAATGTCTTTGGACACAAGGGTGAATGGGCTTAAAAGGAAATTCCTTTTAACATTATGCACTTGGTATGGAGTCTTAAAGAACAATGTCACCAGGCCCCCAGCACAGCTGGATCCTCGGGAGCCACTGACATAATGGATTAATTGCTTGCTGGCACATGCTGCCCTCTTGTGATGAAAACCATCCAAAGGGGATCTTCTCCAGCTCTCTGGAATACACCTACTTACTTCCTTTGGTCCAGATCCATGGTTGGGGGATGGAGGATGAGTGGCCAGTGAGGAAGCTGTTGGCTCTGTAGAGTCAGACCTGTGTCATTCAACCTTCTCCAGGGCGTTCCTAGCCTTGTGACTCTCAGTGAGGCTTGAAAATGTGACTCCAGAGTCCTGTAACTTTTAGCACCAGGGACACTAAAGAGATCCCATCTGTGTTCTTAGGGTGAGAGTTTATTTTGTTTAAGTTGCCCTAGTGGATTGGGACCAGATTTAGGAGACTTAGTAGGAAGAAGGTCAGTTGCAGAATGAACTGAAGGCCACAAACTATCAGAACAGAGGGAAAACAGCCAGACAGGCCTGTGTTCTAGTTTGTGCTCTACCAGTAATGCTCTGTGTGACCTTAGGCAAGTTGCTTTTGCTCCAGCACCAGTCTCCTCAGTGGTAGAGTGAGGGAATTGAACTAACTGAGCTCAGAATCTCAGGTGTTGCCAGGTATGGCTTTCTACATTTGCCAAAATTCCTTTGGGTTTTGCTCCCCCACCTCCCCACACAAACTTTTATGCACATCCTGATTAGTACGAAGACTTATACCCATAGTCATGGGTTCTCAGTTTCCCTCATTCATGGAGTAATTCCTACTTTGTAGAGTTGTAGGGAAGAGATAGTTTCCATTTGACCCAGTGAATGGGTTCAGTCAGACTAGGTCTGTTTGGACGTTTATACACATACACAAAATTTTTAAAGTGGGGAAAACTGACTTTGAAGATACTGATACCCACACTAATGAATTATTATCTTGCACAGTACCAGTTTCAAACAGATGCTGATTTGTGGATGATTCATTCTTCCCAGAACTTGTAGTGGTCACCAGTACCGGTCTGTAGCTATAATCTGTAGGGTGGGGGAACAGGGGCAGTGCCTAAAGGTCTAGGGTCAGGGTCCAGGATGGGGTCAAAGAAGACATTGGTGGCTTCACATTACATTGTTCTGTAACTTCCATCTGCTTCCAGACAATTTGGTACACCCCTAGACTTTGCGCTGACATAGGTTGAAAAAGAAAATTTCATAGCAAGAATCTTTGACTTGATAATCCTACTCCAAAGAAATAGTCCTAAAGAATTTTCTACTTCCACAGAAACGTTATATGAAAATCACCACGACAACCAATCTGGAAGACTGGATTTCTAACATTTGGAATATAGTTAAGCAAACCAACAGAACACAAGTGATCATTATAAAGCCTATGTAACAATGTGGGAAAATGAACCTGAGGACATTATGCTAGGCGAAAGAAGCCAGTTACAAAAAAACAAAATAACAAACCACAAATACTGTGTGATTCTACTTATATGGGGTACTTAGAGTAGTTAAAATCCTAGAAACAGAAAGGGTGGTTGCCAAGGCCTGGGGAGAGGGGGAAAATGGGGAGTTCTTTAATGGGTCTAGAGTTTCAGGATTCTAAGAAAATTCTGGAGCTGGATGGTGGTGATGGTGGCACAACATTATGGATATATTTAATACCATTGAACTGTACTCTTAAACATAGTTAAGATGGTAAATTTTATGTGTATTTTACCACAATAAAAAAAATTGGGAAAAACTTTACAAAGTAGGCAAAACATGGGAAGATGACACATAAAAATTGAAGTAACTTAGTATTTATAAGCATTACTTAAAATTTTTCCTTTAATATTTTACTATTAATATTGTGATACTTTTATAACAAAGCACTGGCAGAAAAAAAATCAAGGAAAAAAGTTTGAGATCTTTTGATATTTGTTATTTGCAAAAAAGCAAAAACAAAAAACGTAAACAAACCAAAAGAGAACGCCCAAGTAGTCATGGGAAAACTTGCTTAACATCGTTGCACTTATTTATTGTTTATGCATTTACTATTGTTTAAAAATTTTTTTATTACAGATCATTGGGGGCCCATAACCTTGTCAGTGCTTAGTGCCTCTAAAAGTTTTAAGCTGGTCTTGGGTGCAGTCAGTTGCATGTGAAGGCTGAGAGACTCGTGCTGGGATGGCCCCCGGGGCCATCTGTGGGGGAACACGAGCCTCCTCGCCAGCGAATTCCGTTTTCGTTAAAATGATCACGGTTTTGCCTTTCAGCTCCAGGGCGAGGGGGTTTTCCTGTGAGGGAGCAGTTCGCTGCCGGAAATAGACGTGGCACACCTGGAAGTGGACCAAAAGATCCCGTGAGCCACCCGCGTCCAGTGGGGAGCAGAAGGGGACACCTGGCGGAGGCTCGTGGGCTCCTGCTCCGTCCTTCCCGGTATGAGGACCACGCGGCTGTGAGTCACACTTGAGCGGTAGGGCTCTTGGGTGACAACGGTGAACACTAATGGCTGTGCCTTCGCTGATGAAGCTAGACTAGTCCAAGCTGCCCGAGGTGGAATCATAGTCTTGGGCCTGACTTGGAGAGCTTCCAGGCCCATAGGTGACCTTGTCGGGAAGGTCCCGAGCTGAGAAGAGAAGCAGCGGGGCGTTCCCTGGCGAGCGGAAATGAGCGGCGTTGGTTTCACGGTGACCTGTGGTGTGTACTGAGCAGCGACCCCGCCTTCCAGCTTCAGCGCGTCTGCTCCTCACGGCGGCCCAGAGCGGGCGAGGGCAGGGGGGTGGGGGGCTACCCTAGGAGGCCCCGTTTTCAAGATGCAGGTTGAGATTCCGAGTCTTAGGACCTGGACCAAAGCCACCTGGTGACTCGACAGGGTTTTTGTTGTTTTTTATAAGTTCCAAATCAGCCCAGACATGCCATAAATGCTCGTCTGAAATATAGGAGCTGTCCTTCCTTTCCCAAAACCAACCAAGATGTCCCGTGGGAAGAAATAATCCAATCCTAAGTTTGTGGCCTTTTTTTTTTTCCTTTCAATTTTCAATGGTCTTTTTCTTGATGAGGAAAAGTCTCCACTTCTCTGCACAGAAACTCACCAGTGAGTAATGGGGAACCTTTCCGGCAAAGTAGGAGACTGAGAAATCGAAAATCCTACTGCTCACCATCTAGAAGACCAGAAGTATTTCCAAACAGAATTTAAGCCAACACTACACAAATTCTAATTTCCTTAGACACAGCAGTTTTAATTTTGATAATCTGTAAAAGTAGCACTATTTGGTAGTTTCTGAGTAAACTTTAGTCTCTCAAAAGTTTGGTTTTAGTGGTTAACAAAGCCCGAATCTGTCAGCTGAGTATAGTTCTTTACTCGGGAGGTCTAAAGTCGGTCCTAAGCACCCCTGGCTTTCAGCTCGCCACGCTCATTCCATACCTGTTGCCTGGAATCTCTGGTAGGGAGAGAGTTGCTGCCTCAGGGGGTGACTCTTAGGTGAATACTCAGATCTGGGGTGAAGGGAGGGGTGGGTCAGAGCTACCAAAGCAGCCCCGTAGGGGAACAACCACCATGTAGCTGAATGACTGTACAGGAGTTTTAGAGCTAACTTGCTCAGGGGCACACTTCCTGACAGGGGCTCCTGCACAAAGCCAGACTGGACCTCCAAGAACTCAAAGGTACTGTTGGAAGGCCCCCTCGTCCCTTCCCCTCTCGTGTTTGGTCCTTACCAGCTTGGTGCCTCCTGCCACAGAGGGTGACAGGTCCACTCAGCAGCAAACCGCCCCAGAAGGTAGTAGACGTAGAGCCTGGCCTGCCAGGGTCTGCCGAGGCACAGTGGTGAGGGCTGTGGAATTTGGCCCAGGCAGCATCTCCTGGCCCCAGCCACCCCGGAACAAGTCCACACCTCTGAGAAGCCAGCTGTATGGGTTCAGAGGTCAGATGGAGGAAAAGGCCCCAGTTGCTTCCTTGGCTTTTTTTGATCCCTTGGTAGGTGGAGAGGCCTGCAAAGGACCATAACGATGATGCCTCTGGCCCTTCCTTCAGCGGGCTCTTCACAGCACTACACGCCAGGGCCCCACCCAACGCAGTGAGTATCCTGAAGGGAGTCAAGGCATGGAGTCCAGGGACCCTCCCGTGCTTCTCAGGCTAAAGTCCCTTTTAAAAATCCCAGACTCGGGCGTTTAGAAATAACGTTTTCAGTACTTTATTAAACAAATTGGCAAAAGAACAAGTTATCTGGTAATATCACCACCCCTCCTCCATTTAATGTCCAGCATGTGCCTGCCGTGATGGTCCATGTAACATGCTCTGCTAGCTGGGTTCTCAGCAACTCCCTCAGCCTTCAGTCAGGTTCAGTCATCCTCACAACTACTCCGGGGCAGGGAGAGAACTCCCTTCCTCAGGAGGGCAAGAGAGACAGAAGCTTCTGTTTGGACCCCAGGGCTACAAAGGCAAGCCAGGCCTTATTCCTTTTAGAGGAAGCGCACGGGTTCTTCCTCCTGACGCAGAGCACTTACGCCCACACTTACCAGCCTTCCTGAGGAGGTGAGCCCAGCATGAGGAAGCTCTGAGTGGAAACTCCGCATTATGAAGACCCCACCCTTTCTCTTCGACCTAAGAGGGCACCCTGTGATCTCCGTCCACAGACACTGAGACCCAAGGACTAAAACAGAAGCCTACTAGGAGTCTTTGCTTTGGCAAAACCTTGGAAGCGCCAAATCCCGACACTGTGCATATCTGTCTCTACAGCTGGGAAGTGGGAAGACCGTCAACCTGTAGGGAGCTACTAAGGAGGAAGAGAATGCTCCAGGTAAAACACTTGTTCGTTGAGCACCTTTTCTGCAAGAAGCGTGGCACTAACTCTCTACCGTTGTCCTCAACTCTTCCATGAAGACAGCATGACGAACTCACTTCCCTGGTCCCGAGGGCCAGTTTTGAGCTCAGTCTTATTCCTCTCCTGTCCGATAAAAATAATCCTGGATATGCATTACATCTCTTCATAGTGCATTTACAGTCACTAAAATGGCTCACCAGGCGCACCCTTGCCCTGCAAAATTGTAACAGCTATGCAGGGAGGCCCCTCTGTTCATCAGGGCAGTGGGCTCCTCCTTGGGCATGGACCCCTGCCTCTCAAAAGCAGATGATCCGCTTCTCATCTTCAAAGACTTTGGCCTCCTCTGGCTTTATCAAGTTTCCATTTAGACTGTCGGAGAAAAACAAAGAACACAAGTAAAATGTTAGGAACTTGTAGGAGCCTTGCCAGTGTGTGTCCTAACACACTCCTGTTCTTCACATGGCCCTGAAGTTAAGAGACGTGCTCTGTTCAGACACTTGTGTGATAATATTACTCCTTTCCGGCTATCGTCACTCTCTGAACTGGCTCTCACTAAGGTCACCAGTAGCCTCTATAATGAACTTAATGACATCTCTCAGGCCTGGTCTTGTCCTTCACAGGCATTTGGCTGTCCTGCCCTCTGCCTCCTTGAAACACCACACTCGCTTGGCTTGCTATTAGGCTTTCTGGTTTTCTCCTGTGTCTGCCACTAGGTCCCAGTTTCCCCTCCCCTCTTCTCCTGCATGTGGCCTCTAAATACTGGGTTTCCTTCGGGCTGGGGGGAGGGGCCTATCACGCCCCCCGGTGACCTCATCCCTGCGTCAGTGGACTTGCAGCCCAGACCTCTCCTGTGTGGCTCTACCTACTCAACATCTTCGTCTGGATGCCTCCCAGGCACCCCTAACTCCGTGTCAGACCACTCTTCATCCAGCTGTGTAAGTCAGTGACCTGGATGGGGCTTGACCCCTTCCTCATCTTCACATTCTGTCTATCCCAGAGTTCTGTCTTATTCTCTAAACATCTCCAGCATACCTCCCCGGAACCCCTCCATTATCTTCACCACCAGCATCGTGGTCTGAGCACCATCTCTTCTCCGGATCACTGCAGTGCCCTCCTGACTGGTCCCTTTACATGTACCCATGTGACCTCTTCAAATCCATTTTCCTGGAGGATCCAGAGTGGTCTTTTTATAATGCAACGCTGATCATATCCCTCTTTGCTTCAAATCCCTCCATGACTTTCCATTGCTTTTAGGATAAAGACCAGAACATGTACCACCACCCACAGATCTCTTATGGTCTAGTGTGCCCCAATTCCTCTGCCCCCGCCGTTGCCCCTTCTTCTCTACTGTCTGAACCCCAGGGCACATCAACATCTTGCTGTTCTTCAAGGATACGATGCTCCTCCTTCCTGCCTCAGAACCTTTGCATAAGCTGTTCCCTCTACCTGGAACACTTTCCTATTCATTCTTCATGGCTTAGCCTAATGCCACTTCCTGAGGGAGAAGTTCCCTGAAACCTCGTCTGTATTAGGTTCCCTTCTTAGCTCTCTCCTTTACAGCATTCACAATGAATTGCTTGAATGATTTTTTTTCTTTACTGTGCATCTCCCTCACTAGGTGGTAAACCCATGAATGAGGTCAGGTCCATTTTGGTCACCACTGGATGGTGCTAGCACTGTGCCTGGCACTCAAGCACTTTGTTATTCAGCAAATAAAATGCAGCACTAAGCCCCGAGGACACAGCAGTGACTCTTGGTTTTTTGTTTTGTTTTGTTTTTTGGTTTTAAAAGAAACAACCCACAGGCTCCAAGTGGCCTCACTGAGGTTAAAGCCCCAGGTCAGTAAACCAGAACTTAAAACCTAATCAAACTGCAGTTTCACCTCCCCAGGAATACAGCCTTTAGCCAGGCAACCTGACCAGGAAATTTCCCGAGTCCCCTTCTGCTCCTTAGGAGGGCAACCTGGCCTAAACAATGCATTTCTGGCTAGTAAATAATGCCTTTTTAATGCTTTTTAATGCCTTCTCTGCTCTGCCTTTCAAAAACCTTTCTCTTGTTTGGCTCAGCGGAGCTCCTCTCCACTTGGTAGACGGCATGCCACCTGATTTGTGAATTGTTGAATAAAGCCAATCAGACCTTCCAGTTTATGTGGTTGAATTTTGTTTCACAGCCTTGGTGGCAGCACTGGGATCTGCAGCGAGCTTCTGATGGCCCGTGGGGACGGGGAGAATCACTGGCACGGGGGACCTCCTGCGAGCCCTCCTACGTTCCCCTTTCTCGCCATTGCCTGGGTGCCGCCAGTGAGTGCTCTCAGTTTCTGCCCCCCTCTTTGCCTTCGAGCTACCGACCTAATTGGCTTTCCAGTCCAGGTCAGCATAGACTGGTGGGGGCTCTCATAGAGCGCCAGTGCTTAGCCCTGGGTTCAGCCCGCCAGTCCACGCTGGAATCTCTTCCGGGCTCCCACCCGCAGTCCCCATTTACTGGGCTTTGCTGCTTGAATCCTTTCCCATTTCCAGTCCGCCGCCCCCACGCTGGAGGCCACTGGGTCAGTCCACGCAGGGAACTGCCCATGCTGGGCATGGCCTTCTCTTGGCCACTCTGTGGCAACACCTTGTGGTTACTGCTGGTGTGTTAAGGTGCATGTTTGTCTTGTTTTGTGTAAACAAAGCCTTAGCTAATGGGATCCTTAAAATTCTGAAGAGTCAAACATGCCACCTTCCAGCACACCTGCTCATTTTAGGTCAAAAAACCATGGTGCCGGGAGCTGTGAATTTCTACAGAAATGGCAAAACTCTGCTAAAGACAACCTAGCAGTACATTGGCCACAAAGGGGAACGTTCCCATTAGACAAGGTCATTTAAGAAGCGCATTGGAAAGCACAAGTTCCCAAACCGAATGGGATGCCTGTTTACATTGGCAAGCAGAAGCTCCAAAAGGTTTCAAAATTCTGAAATAGTTTCATTAAAAGGTTAATAAAAAGATTTAGCAAAAGGCTCACGAAAATTAAAGGTGTAAGAGGGACATAAAGCAAGACAGAAGGAACTCTTGCTGTCCCCCTCTGTCCTCTGAGCACTCATTCTGCTAATCCTCTGTCTGCATTGCTTTTCCCCGCTCTGAAAATGCCACCGGAAACAAAATTGGCAAGGTGTTGGCCTTACAGGCGGCCCCCATATTGGCCATACAGGGCCCCTCTCAGAGTTAATGAAACTGAGAAATTTTTTGGTAAACTGCTACAGCCAAGCGGTTGGCAGGGGGCGGCGCCTGGGTGGCTCAGTCAGTTAAGCATCTGCCTTAGGCTCAGGTCATGATCTGGGGTGGGGGTCAGTGGGGGGTGTGGTCCTGGGATCTTGCTCTGCGTTGAGCTCCCTGCTCAGCGGGGAGCCTGCTTGTCCCTCTCCCTCTACTGCTCCCTCCACTGCTGCTCATTCTCTCTTTTCTCTTTCACTTGTGCTCCCTCTCTCTCAAATAAATATCTTAAAAAAATAAATAGCTAAGGGGAACCTCCCGTAGATAGCAGAGCCCGCACAGGGGACCCTGGAAAAACTGGCAGAAGCCAGTGAAGGGTGAAAATGCTTACCAGAATCACTTCTTCTGAAGGTGCCCGCGGTGCCCATGGAGAGGGGAAAGGAAAACTGCACGTCGCCCTTTCCTTCCTGAATCTAAACCCATTGTCCACTGATGCCCTCCCTCCCGGGGGCGGCTGTCACCCTCTTCCTTGTCTCATTTTGCATAACCAGGCTTGGCTTTCTGCCTGCCTGGGACGTGCAGGTTGTTGCTGCTTTCTTTTGGCTGTCTTTGGGAGTGACTCTGGATTTCGGGAAGGTAATATCCTTCGCGGCCTCTTTGGGAACCCGTCTTAACACCCAAGGGGGTTTATTCAGTACTGCCAGAAATATCTGAAATTCAAATCTGTACCCAGAGGGAAAGAAAATGAATGAGGGTAATGTAGTTGGGATAGGCGGCCGACCTATGATGTCATTCAAGTTCCAGCCCAATTCTTTGAGAAATTGAAAGCAACTGTCCTTTTTTTTTCCCTCAAAATAAAAGTCCGCTCCAGGCACAATTCAAAATTCACCTATTCCTTTACACCTATTCCGAAACTTCCCTCATTTATCTCAAAGGCTCGTAAATTACTGGTCTTGGGAAACCCAAGTCCTTCTTGCAGGAACTTACATTCTTTCTCTGTCCCTTGAAGTTATACATCTATTGAACACAACCCATCAATCACCTGAGACAGAAGGGAAAAAAGAGGCCTTTTTAAAGTACAAACTGCTAAAAAGGGCTCTTGTGCCCAAACTCTAGCACAGCCTCAAGCTTGATTCCAGGGACAGATACAAATCTTAAAAAAAAAAAAAAAAACTTCTCCACAAATATTAGTAACTATAGAGTCTTTGCCTCTGTACTTTTAAGATTTTATTTGTTTGTTTGAAGGAGAGAGAGAACACAGAGGAAGAGGGAGAAGCAGACTTCCTGCTGAGCAGAGAACCTGAACCAGGACTCTGGGATCATGATCTGAGCCGAAGGCAGACGCCCAATCGAGCCATCCAGGTGCTCCTGCCTCTTGTGTGTTTGTATGTATGTCATAAATGTGAGATATTGTTTCTGGATGGTATTACTAAAATCAGTTTGTAAAAGAGCAGATCGTGGAAACAAAGCCTTAGCTAATAGGATCCTTAAGTTCTGAAGAGTCAAACATGCCACCTTCCAGCATACCTGCTCATTTTAGGTCTAAAAACCACAGTGCCAGAGCTGTGAATATCTACAGAAATGGTTTGCTGGTTTTGTAGGGCCCAAGGGCAGGCTGCTCCAAAATGTACCACTTACTGATTGTTTTAAAGAAAACATATCTAAGAGACAACCTGTACAAGAAGGACACTCAGACCCTCCTCTGTCCCACTGAAAGCAGGAGATATATCTCCCATGTGAAATGAATCTCCCATGTGAAAGTCACCCTCCCTGTGCCAGGCTGGTAGAGACATTCTTAGCATCAGAGACAGGAAATTTAGAGCCAAAAAAGCTGTATAAACAACCCTTGTTAACTTTTACCAATTTAATATCACACCCCCAGATTCTGCCTAGAATTCCTTACTAATTGGAGCTCCCAAAGTTAAGTTTTCTTCGTCCTGTCAATTCCTCATGGATTTATTTATTGTCTCTGCCTAAAAATACAAAAACTGCCTGCCTTGGCCATCTCTTTAGGTCTGAATTTCATTACTGACCCACTGTGCACACACAATAAAACTCTGTTTTTTTCCTTCTAGTTAATCTGTCTTATGTAAATGTAACTCTTAGTCCAGCTGGAAGAACTTGAAAGGTAGAGGAAGAACCTTCCCTTCCCTTCAGTTGGCGTAGCTGGTGGATACTCATTCGCAGGACAGCGGCTCGCCCAGAGATCCTGGGACAGCTAACGCACCTCCAGCAGAAGGTAAGGTTCTGACCATGCCAGCCTCCCGGCTTCTCTATCCGCAGGGCCTGGTGGAACCTGAGAGTGGTAACAATCTTTCTTTCTCTAAATTTAGTTAGCGGGAGAAAATACTATAGAACTAGTTCCTTGGGCTGAACAACTTTTGGTAAAAATTTGGTAGTGTACTCTTGGGTGACTATCATATTCTCCCAGAGGTGGTCACTGTTTTTTTTTCATCTGTGTCTTTTTTGTTGAATGTCATTGGAAGGACTCCTCACAAGAAGACAGAACGCAGGCTTCAGCCCTATAAGCCTGCTTTGTAGCCGGCCTCACAGACTGGTGAGGTCACATTTCTCCTCAGAACAGGGTCTGTTTAGACAAACTCTGCTGTGGGTTAACACGCACATGAGGTAAAGGCTGTTGCTAAAGAAACATCTTGGAAACCCAAGCGACAAAATTGGTGGTCACGGATCAGCAGTTAGAAGCTGTTAGATTGCTTGTCATCTAACTCAAAGATCCCCCCGCCCCCCGTTAGGATAACCTGGTCATGGAATGGGTTAGATTGACACTCAGTCTGCTGCCGGCCTCAAGAAAACATCCATGCAGTGAGGTACACAGTAAAACACCACACAGTCCCCAACCTCAAGGCACAGCCCTTCTAGGTCTTGGTTTGGCCCCCGGAGCCCCAAAGCTTAGGCAGGGCTGTTAATGTTGAACATAAGAGATATTTCCTTTTGTCTAGTTCTGTGTCCTAAGCGCTTGGCTTTGTGACGCTTTGTGACCAGTGAGCGTATTTTCTCTGGTCTCCCTCACTTGGGAGGGCACACTTAACTGGGGTGCATCATGGCGGTTCAATAGACCGGGGACCCGAGACACACAATAACCAGCAGCGCTCTCTGTCCGGCCACACCAGCTCTCAGGGAAGTTTGTCATAAGGGGCCCCAGCCCCTAAGGGAGGGGCCTCTGTTGCTTCAACCTTTCTTGCTCCTTAGTGCTAGAGAAATCTCATTCCAGTAGCACCAGCCCAATGTCACAGATTAGCAGGTCTGTGACTAGAGGTGTCTTACATTCTGGGAGACCAGAGGCACCATACACACTACCTCATTCTTACAGCTTGTACAACGAAGGTGGTTGCTTTCTCAGACTATTCTTGGGAGTAGGCTTTTGGATCATGGGGGCTGCATCATCTATGCTTGCTCTGGGGACACCTCTTAAGCCATTAAAAGGCTTATGGGTTTGAATCACTATTGAAATTAATAAGATCCAATTTGTCAATGGCCAAACACTAGATCCTTTAAATGGGCTATTTGAAAGAGAAAAATTATAAAGAACTCTCAATTGTCTTATTAGTATAATGGCTAGTCTTAGGGATTCCCTTGACAAGATAAAAGAACAAAAATTAGACTTAAGACAGATAAATGTCCCATGAAAATTCCCCTTCTTTTAAAATCTAGCCCAGCCTCTAGGTTCAAAGTATACAGACTACTCTTATAAATGCTAGAAGCCAGAAAGTGAATTTAACAGAAGCACCTAGGACAAACAGGAGGGTTTGGTTTACTGTAATCAATCTCTGTCAGCCTCAGACTTTTTTTTTTTAAGATTTTATTTGAAAGAGAGAGAGAGGAGAGACAGTGAGAGAGCACAAGCGGGGGAAGCTGCAGGCAGAGGGAGAAGCAGGCCCCCCGCCGAGCAAGGAGCCCGATGCAGGATGCGGGGCTCGATCCCGGTAGTCTGGGGTCATGACCCGGCAGATGCTTAACCGACCGAGCCACCTAGGCACCCCAGCCTCAGACCGTTTTATATGCTCACCTTTGTCAGGTGTATTCTAGACCCTGCCCCCTACTGCAAAAAATTCATGTCCCCCAAACAGCAGCAAATCTTTGTAAAGCCCTTTTTCCTCCATTTTCAGAAGATCCTACCAAACTTAGAGAAACATTAAAAAGATTTGACTATTCACAACCTCCCCTTCACAGAGGACAGAGATGACCAATAAAATTTCCCCTAGGCTCTCCTAGAAATGATCAGAGGAAGGCTGATGCTGACGGGCTAGTAGAAGTCCTGGCTGAACTGTGTAACCATGAAGGCTTTTGTTAAAATGCCTTATACAGACTGTACAAAAGCATAAAATTCCCCTTGATATAAAGAAGCAAATTTAGTTAAAGAGGTAGGCCAGTCCCTTGATATTCAGGCTGGAATCCAGTTCTTTGGGGGGATTAAAAACAACTGTCTTTGTCTTACAAATCTCTATAAAACTAGAAATGCAACTCCAGAAATATGTCGAAAACCACCTATCTTTACCAACCTCCTCCATTCCTCTCAAAATATTTGTGGATATTATCAAAGGTCAGGGTATTGGAACAAAATTGCCCTGTAGTTAAGGGAAAAAAAGGCAATATTTTCCCCCCAGAGCAATCAAGCATTTTATTTCATTATAACAAGGAAGCACTCAATTATTCTCTCCTTAAATGCCATATTTCGGCAGAAATAATATTTAGGCCTATATTGAAAATACTGCCCCAAGAGTTTCCAGAACATTATTCACCACTCAGGACCCTAGCTGTTGAGATTTAAAATCATGTTTGGCAATGTCCCACAGCACGCTAAATAAACAAGTCTTCACCCACATTACTTTGAATTTCTTAATATCTTGTCCTGTGTTCCATTGCCCATCGGAACAACTGAGCTTCCTAGAAACATTTGACCAATAGCTAGATGTGTGCCCAAGAACCCAGCACCCTCCAGGTTTTCAAAAGTGAAGAGGTTACCTGTGAATCGGATCCCCATTAAAAGGGTACGGCTTTGCCAATAAACAAGAATATGCTCTTCCGTGGCTAGGAAGACCACACAGCTGACCGGTTTAGAAAAGGTCAATTTTAAGTCACAATTACCCCAAAACTCTTAAAGTTTTTTGCATTCTTTCTGTCCCTTTAAATCATAAATCTTACGTCTTTGAAATGTGAACATAGCCCACCATTACCTGAGGCTGAAGGAAAAATGAGAGGGGAAGCGGCCTTTTTAAAATACAAACGATAGGGCGCCTGGGTGGCTCAGTTGGTTAAGCAACTGCCTTCGGCTCAGGTCATGATCCTGGAGTCCTGGGATCGAGTCCCACATTGGGCTCCAGGCTCAGCAGGTAGCCTGCTTCTCCGTCTGACCCTCTCCCCTCTCATGCTGTTTCTCTCTCGCTCTCGCTCTCTAATAAATAAATAAATAAATAAAGTCTTTAAAAAAATAAAATAAAATACAAACGATAACAGGGCTCTCGTGCCCACTTGAGCACCTCTGATAACAGGCAGATAAGCTCCAAATCTCCACCTTGGACAAAACTTCGATACTTTCTCTGTACATTTTCTACCCCATCTTCTGTAGGACCTAGGTAGGAACCATTCTTAGAAATGCAAACTTGAGAGAGAGGTTTTTCATTAGAAAAAGGGAGAGAGGGAAGTATTTGGAAATTGGGCCTATAATCGCTCTATAAACAGAAGTAAAACCAAAAGCTAGAAGATTTTGTTTGCCTCTGGTCTGTGTATTTGTATGTGTGTCCATGTAGGTTGTGAGATATTTTCCGTATTTCTGGGTGGTATGGCTAAAATTAATTTGTAACAGAGCTCTATTTAGTTTGTCTGAAGGCATGTGCTGGTAAGAATTGGGCATTCTAAAACTCAGAAAGCTTGTGGTGTGCCTGGGTGGCTCAGTCGGTTAAGCGTCCAACTCTTGATTTCAGCTCAGGTCATGACCTCGGGGTCATGACCTCAGGGTTGTGAGAGGGAGCTCTGTGTCGGGCTCCGTGCTCACAGGGGAGTCTGCTTGAGATTCTCTCTTTCCCTCTGCCCCTGCCAACCGCTGCCCCTAGTTCTAAAATAAATCTTTGATGCGTTAGCCTGGTGATGGGTATTAAAGAGGGCACATTCTGCGTGGAGCACTGGGTGTTATGCACAAACAATGAACCAGGGAACACTACACCCAAAACTAATGATGTATGGTGATTAACATAACAATAAAAATTAAAAAAAAATAAATCTATAAAACTCAGAAAGCTAAAAACTAACACAAATGTTTAAGTTCACGTGATCTGGGAAAATATTTGGTATTAAAGCTAATTTAAGATTATTGGTTTAATTAAAACAGACCTGTCTTTAGCGTTATCGGCATTAAATATAAAACTTTTATTCTGCCTGTGTTTACTGAAAGTCAAATGGGTTTCATGTTCTCTCTGTTGCAAAATCTGTCAGAAAAAAAACCCAGAATAATGGTTGAGTCTAATGCCTCATGAAGTTTTATGGGTAGTCCAAATATAATAACAAGTAAATTAAATAAATGTAAATTAGATAAAAAGGTTTCTAGGTAAATTTTTTTTTAAAGATCTTATTTATTTGAGAGAGTGAGCACAAGTTGGGGGGAGAGGCAGAGGGAGAAGCAGACTCTGCACTGAGCAGGGAGCCCCACAAAGGGCTCCATCCCAGGACCCTGAGATCATGACCTGGGTCAAAGGCAGATGCTTAACCGACTGAGCCACCCAGGCTAGGTAAACTTTTAAATAGCTTCCAAAATCTTTTTGATGGTAACCCAAAACTTTAAAAGGTTTCGCTAAATTAAATGGATAAATTCATTGAGTATCTAGTGGCTCAGTCAGGTGTCTGCCTTTGGCTTAGGTCATGATCTCAGGGTCCTGGGATGGAGCCCCACGTTGGGCTCCCTGCTCAGTAGGGCGTCTGCTTCTCCCTCTCCCCCTTCCCCCACTGGTGCTCACTCTCTCTCTCTCAAATAAAATCTTAAAAAAAAAAATTCACTGAGTATCTAGATCATTTCCCAGTAAGAAAAAGTAATACAACATTAAGTATTAATATAGGTTTACCTATTTTTAGTTTCCCTGTATAAAACAAATTTGGTTCTGTTTTATGCTGCTGTACTATGAAGAAACATGTTTCTAAATTATGAAATATATTCATAAATTTGCCAATCTAGGGGCACCTGGCTGGCTCAGTGGACCATGTGACTTAGGGTCATGAGTTCAAGTCCCACATTAGGCATACAGCTTACTTCAAAAAATTTTTAAAAATTTGCCAATCTAAAGAAATCTGCTGTAACAGTTTACAGTGGCTTACTAGTTAGAAACCTTAATTTCTAGTGAAAACTAAGAGTTAAGAATTCTAATAAATGTAATTAAGGCAACTGAAAATAAGAGAGACAAATCTATATGTAAGAAAATTAAGATGTGTGTTTTGGGTGAGAAAAAATATGAGGAATAAAAATACATTCCTGTTGAGGAAAAAGAATATAAGTTTGTCCTGAAGTGAAGTGAAAACTTAGGGCAAAATCTGGATGTAAAGAAAAAAAAATTGTAGAAGATGTATGGAAAATAAATCTTTTTTTTTTTTTTGAAGATTTTATTTATTTGACAGAGAGACACAGTGAGAGAGGGAACACAAGCAGCGGGGCGGGAGAGGGAGAAACAGGCTTCCCGCTGAGCAAGGAGCCCGATGCGGGGCTCAATCCCAGGACTCTGGGATCATGACCTGAGCCCAAGGCAGACGCTTAACGACTGAGCCACCCAGGTGCCCCTGGAAAAGAAATCTTTGGAAAGAAATTTTCTGTGTGGCTAGTACTGGGTAAGATGAGGGTAAATTTAAGTAAATGAGTTTTATCCTCGAAAGTACACTGGTACAAAATTAAAACTGTTTTCTCTTTGTTAAAAGGTCAAACTTCTCTTGAACTCCTGGTCTGCTCTTAGTAAGAAATTATAAACAAAAGTTTTTCTTTATAAAAAACAAGGATTCTGTGTTTTGCCAAAATAATTTCCTATGTTTATCAGGTCTTTGGATTACTTAAACTGAGTCTTAATACTAAAAGGGCTAAATTTTGCTTACAACTACGTAACCTACTGTATTGGCCTTTTAAATCATCTTTTATTGTCACTTTGGTTAAAGGGATAGTTAACTATTGTTTTATAACAATTCATGATCCTATTTAACCAAATGTCCAAACCTTTTGATATTTTTGACATACTTCCCAAAATCAAATTCTAAAATGAAGTCTTTCTGGCCACAATCTGAAATTTTCCAGAGGCCCCTTGTACATTTCAAAGATTTTTGTGAATAATTAAACTCATTAGGCTTGTTTGTTGTGTTTAATCCCATGGACAGCACTGTCAGATAAGTGCTACCAAACTTTGTATTTGTGTAGATGTCAGTTATCAAAAATAAGTGTTCTAAAACTTATATGAAACTCCAAACAATCTGATATGTCCTGATATGTTATTATCTTAAAGTGTTATATGTCACAGAAATAACCAAATTTCCTTGCCACTTGCATTGTAATAAACTCTAAGATCTTTAACCATGGCCATTTTTAAGACTTTCATTGTTTACAGTTATACTTTTTACTCAGTTGCTTTTACAGATGCCTCCCGCAAATACATTTTGTCTTAAATGAGACTCATGGAAAGACCTCTCAGTACAGATTTCTGATAACCTTCAGCTCATAAAACTAAACTGGGTACGAATTTCCCGAACTAATGGAAGAACTAAATTCAAGCAGAACCAGAAAAATATGTGACTAAGTTTTAACTAAGGAGGATAACTTTTATAACTTTTTGGTTAAAACATTGATTTTTAAAAAATGTTTTGTTTTTCCAGATTTAGTATTTTAAAATAAAAACTTTCCTTAAAACAATTACTAAACATAGGTTTATCTATGTTTGAGTACTTATTACGGAGAAACTAAAAGATATTTTGATATGTTAGGGCGACTTTGAGAAATTGAAAAAGGCATATTTTTAAGAGTTAAGAATTCTCATAAAGGGGCACCAGGCTGGCTCAGTCGAAAGAGCGTGCAACTCTTAATCTCGGGGTCATGAGTTGGAGCCCCATGGTGCATTTAGAGATTACTTAAATAAAGCTTTTTTAAAAATTCTAACGTAATTAAGGCTACTGGAAATACGAGAAACAACTCTGTATGTAAGGAAAGAAGGATATGTGTTTTTGGTAAGAAAAAATACGAAAAACAGAAATATATCTTTGATGGAAAAGAAGGTAATTTTGTCCTAAAGTGAGACTGGTTATTTAACAAGGGAAAACTTGGGACAAAATCTGAATGTAAAAAAGGAAAGTTCTAGAAGATTTGTGGAAGGAAGTCTTTGGAAAGCCATTTTTATATGTGACCAGGTAACTTTTGTGCAAGGCAGCAGCAACAGAATCTATAAAGATGTGGATTAACTCCATTCTCCTTCTGCAGAAAATGGCCCTCTCAGTGCCAGACGTTTGCCATCCTGACGTCCTTATAATATGGCAAAGGTCTGCTCCAGAATCAGAGAAATTAAACTAACAGTTGGGCTATGGGAAACCCAGGATGGCCACTTGATTCTTCCTCACTCCCTAACAAACCCCGTTTTGCCATCCTGCGCCCATCAAAGTACATTCAAGATGACTCACATTATAAATAGACATTAGTGGGGAAATGTCTTATAAAATTGCAAAAACAGTCTTTTAGCAATGTCTGACTGGTCGGGTCCACAATCCTGAAAAAACCGTTTTTGTCCCCAGAGGCCTCAGACCTCCCGCTCTGGACCCTTTGAACACCGGTAGCTGCACTGCACTCAACTGCCTCTTGGTCCAGGTCCCCAACGGTCGTGTTATTGCCTGTGTGTTTTCTGGAAGGGTGGAAGCCTTTCCGTCCCACAAGACTGTTGTCCTCACAGTAGGAAATAAAAAAACTATTAAAATTGTTTCCCACTTGGGGTATACCTTGTATAATCTCCAGTGATCGAGGCACCCTCTTCACTTAATGAGAACCTTGCAGATTTCCTGGAACCCTATCCGTGTACAACCCTGTTGTTTCATGCCAGTGTGACCAGCCACTGTGAGTCTTTCGTGTCTTGTGCTCCAGCCTGTTATGAACAGCTTCAAAAACCCATTTGGGATCCCAATTCAAAGGGTCCTGTTAGGCACAGTCTAGAGCCTGGTGATGATTAGGGATTCTGGAAACATCACCAGAGAAAAACAGCTCTTGGGACCTTCGGGAATGCTCCTGACCAGTGACACCGCTGCGCAACTAGAAGGCACCGAGCCTTGAGTCCCCCTCACACAACTGAAGAAAGCTCCACTGGAGCCCTGGTCCTGGACAGACGCTGGAGACTGACCAATTACCCTGACCAGGGAGAGAAACACTCGCCACCAAAGTAGACTGCCTCTGCTCACGATGCCGGATCAAGACTTCACACCGGAACTGAACAGGACACCATTTGCCCTCTTTTCCTTCCCTTCCCTCTGGCATTGGCTTGGCGAGGTAACACCCTTATCTTTCCCTCCCAGGTCACCGCTCAGGGGGCAACCTCTGGAATTCAGAGCCACCTTTTATTTTCAGGAGAAAATCATACCTTTATTAGGTCGAGTCCTGTGAATTTACATCATGAGTGAGAAGGGAACTACCAGGAGGCTTTCGTGATTCACGACTCTCCTTTTAAAGGCAGATCCCTACTCCCAGGGATAAATATAATGAGGCTCTAATCAGGAATTTCTCAATTCTTGAAATGTTTGCCAAATTGCCACGAAAGCAAGAACTGCCCAACAAAGATCCCTAGACTCTCTGGCCAAAGTTGTTCTCGATAACAGAATATCCCTTGATTGTCTTTCAGCTGAGCACGGAGGTGCCTGCTAGAGCCAGTACCACCTGCTACACCTGGATTCACCATTCTGGGAAATTTGAAACTCAATTACATCAAATCACAAAATAAGCCACTTTCGTTAAAAAGATGATTCCTTCCCATGGGGTCTTTGATTTGATTTTGATTGGATTGGAGACCATAGCTTCAAAGTACCCTGCAAACATTGGGAATTACTTTATCATATCATAATAATCTCCCTGGTGCATTATATTCTCTCAAAAATTTTAAATGCATGTTTGCAGCCACTAACCACCAAGCAAATGGTCTCCCCCAGACTGGACCAACAAAAAGGTACAAAGAGGACAACCGACTTAAAGGAATATAAATCTGAAGTCATAACCTGTGAATGTCACAGAGATAAAGCCAAAACATCATGACCTGAGAATGCCAAAGATCAAACTCTGAGAACTACAGAGCAGTAGCTGAGAGGAATGGATGTAATCTTTAGTCAGTCAACATAGAATCTCCTCCTCAATACTAGGAAATTTACTGAAAGGTCCCTTCAGCTCCCCTTAGGAGGGCAAACTTACCTAAAACAATGCATTCCCTGCTAATAAATTCGTCTTTGTTTATGCCTCTGCCTTTAAGAACCTTTCTCTCGTTCGGCTCAGCAGAGCTCCCCTGTACTTGCTAGGTGGGATGCTGCCCAACTCCTGAATTGTTTAATAAAGCCAATTCGACCTTCCAATTTACTCAGTTGAATCTTGTTTCTTTAACACCATGACCCGGGCCCCACCCTCAAAGAGTTTGCCGTCTGGAGTAGACCGCCTCGCAGGACAGAGGTGTGTGATAAATGCCGGACAATGTCAAGTCACGGAGCACCCGACCTCCTGTCTTTGCAGCAGAACCCACGGCGGGACTTAGGGCTGCAAGTTCTACTGGGCCAGGGGCAAAGCAGAACCAGACGTCAGTCCCGACAGCGAGTCGCTGTGCCGCCGCCGGTGGCTGCAGACAGGGTGGCTCCCTCACCGCGCCCAGCACCCCCCCCCCCCCCCCCAGCCCTGGACGGGACTTCGCAGAGCCCAGATCCATGGCGTCACCCACGTGGGGTAAGCTAGGGATGGAAGTGAAGCCGCCGCCAGGCCAGCCCCTCCCCTGAGCTCTCCTTCTTGCCTTCTCTCTCAATCCGCCCCCTGCCCCCCATACACACACAAAGTGCCTCCTTCCAGCTCTGGGTAGCACACCTGGAAGTTAAAGACACCTGGCCCTGCACGAACCGTCCCTTGTGTAGGGACAAATGCACCTCTTCAAGCTTGACAGCTCACTAAAGCAGCTGTGGACCCTTACAACTCTCCTCCTCAGCCTCTGAGAAGAGTCGAGACCAACCGTGGCCTGCAAACTTCTGCAGCCTGGCCGACGTCGTCCTCCCCCTCCGCCCGCTGTCCTTGGAGCACAGCAGCAGCAGGACATGAAGGGCTTCTGGGGAACGGGCCACAGGCAGGAGGGGCTTGGGAAGAACGCAAACTCAAGTCCACCGAGCTCTCACAGGCCCTCCGGACCGAGGAGGGGGCGCGGCCGCGCAGGCGCAGAGGCCACAGCGCCTCCGGCTTTCTTCCCTCGAACAGTGTTTTCCAAGCGTTTTTTAAACCATGACCCGAGTAAGAATTACATTTAACACTGTGAACCAATCTGTTCATACGCACATACCCATATCTGAAATTATATTATAAAATCACACGGCAGGGGCGCCTGGCTGGCTCAGTCATTAAGCGTCTGCCTTGGGCTCAGTTCATGGTCCCAGGGTCCTGGGATGGAGTCCCTGCTTCCCCCTCTCCCTCTGACCCTGCTTGCGTTCCTTCTCTCGCTTTGTCTGTCAAATAAATAAAATCTTAAAAAAAAAAAAAATCACACTTCATACTACGCACAGTGCTTGCTGGTACTCTGCTCATTTTTTAAATAATGCTGGTTGCAACCCACCAAACTCATTTTGCTCCGCTGACAAGTTCCAAAGAGAAGTTTAAAACGCACTGTTCTCGGAGCTGAGGTCAAGGGACTGTACCTCGATTTACTTTTTTTTGGTTGGGAAGTTTTCCCCCAGTCATGAAGAAATAAAGTAGTTAATGAGTAACTACCCCCTGAGCTGAGGATCTGAGTTCACAGAGCAGCCCCAGTAAGAGCGTGAACTCTTCCTCCGGTCTGTCCTCTAGGGAGGTCTGGCTCTGCCCCCTGTCGGGTCCTCCACACGGTCACTTTGCAGGGCTGTTTCCCGCTGGAGGTGCAGGAAAAACTCCAGGGCACTCAGGAGTCTGTTCAGCCCCCAGTTCTCAGCTCTTAAGAGTAGCTGTGGACCCTTACAACTGTCCTCAACAGCGTCTGAGAAGAGTAGAGGCCAACCGTTGCCTGCAAATTTCTGCAGCCTGGCCTACGTGGGCTCTGATTTGCCAGTACTCTTCAGCAATCAGGGTCCTTTCTGTCTGACTAACTGCCATTTCCCCAGCACCCAAACCATGGCTGCAACTGTTGCTAATGGGAACTCCCCCCAAACCCCACTTGGCCCTGCATATCCTACAAGCCCAGACCCAAACAGGGGCGGGGGTATGTGTCTTGTGAGGCACTAGCGGGGTGGAATAGGGCTCAGTGTTGTAGAAAGCAAACGATTTGGCTCCCCCTAGCCCCAGAAGCAACTCCTCAAAGCAGAAACAGGAAGTTGAGGAAGAGCACAGGTCAGCTCAAATCAGCATGGAAGTAGCTCCTCAAGCCCAGGAAGCCCAGAAAAGGAGAACGGGCCCCAAACTCCAGCTAGCACGTTCGTTCCTCTCAGCTTCCTGAGTCCCTGAGTGCTTCACTCGCAGTGGGAATGCCTTTCTGGAGCTGTTTGCTCCGGAACCCGAGGGAAGCAGAGGAGGGCAGGGGACCGCGGCGGAGAGCAGGGGCAGGCCAACTGGGCCAGATTCCAGCTGCTCTTCTTAGGTGGCACCTTGGGCAGGTTTACTTAACTGCTCTGGGCCTCAGTTTCTACATCTGTGAAATGGAAATAATACCAGCTACTTCACAAGATAATGGGAAAGATGAGGAATAAGTGCAAAGAGCTCCCCTGCACATTGTGCCTGGCACCCAGATGGTGGTGCTGAGTAAGTGGGCACTGTTACTATTACGACCAGCGGTGGATGAGTCTTACCAAATCTCCATAATGCCAGTGTTCCTCTGTAAGGCGTCTGCCAGCTGGGCAATCCCCTTGGCTGTGATCTGGTTCTGGATAAGCCTGAAAGAAGAACATATCTTGTAGCAGATCCTTAATACTGGATCAACTCTGCCCCCTCCATTAGGGAGTTGTAAGGGTATGGTGGGAATGAGACACGGTTGGGGGAAGAACGGTGTCCGCGTGACTTTTAATCTGGCGAAGACTGTCTTGAGCAGATCTACCAGAATAAAGGACATCCTTTAAAATGTTTAATTTTTCGGTATATTTTTAGAATGAGCATAATATATCTGTGCATTCATACATAGATAATTTAATACATGAATGCATTTATGTGTGTCATTGGCATTCTTCACTGCAGGGGGTGCCCAATCAAAAATGTTTGGAGGCCACCAGTCTGAACAACAAATTCTAAGAAACACCCAGAGGACAGGCAGTCTGGTGGCCTTCCAGCTGGCTGGGGAAGGCAAGGCAGTTTTTAAAGTTAAGTAGCTGCTAACTGGCTGTTCAGTTCATTGGAGAAACAAAGGCTTCTAAGAATGCACCCTGTCCTCTCCAACCTCTGGCAGGGGCGGGAAGAGAAAGATTCTCCTGCTGCCACTCATGGGTCCCAGCGGGAAAGCATCCATAACGGGGCCTCTAGGAGTGCATCCCATTAGGTCAGGTAGCAGTGATCCCAAGGTTTCTGATACAGCCGGGGAGCCTGGACAATTTCTCAAGTGCTCTCCTGGGCAGCTGGGCTTCCAACCCAACCAAGAGCTACACACCGCACAAGGCGGTGATGTGTCTATGCGTCATCACATACCCACTCCTCGCTCCCGGCTATTTGTAGAATAAGGTTACTACTGAACTTGACCCTAAGAAATCCTGGGCACTGACCCAACAAGGCAGCCCTACCAGGGAGACGAGAGCTTCACCGTCGTGATTGATGAGATTATAGAAATTAAGCGAGAAGAGGCCAACCCCCTGAAGAGGCAGGACAGTGTCGCGGTTCAAAGCTCCCCTCCTCCACACACACCCACTCCCCACTTCTCAGTCACAGATCCTTGAAGAAATAAGCTCACGCTATCTATGCCTCAGTGGCCTGATCTGTAAAATGGAAGCAAGAGAACACCCCCTCCCTGGGTGTGTGAGGTCTCAGTGGGAGGATGTGTATGAAGGAAGTCGTTCTCACAGTTTCTGCCCCCATGCCCAGGGGCAGGGAGCTCTTGTCGCCATTGCTGCCCCAGCACATAGGACCGTACCCCAGTCTTTCAGCCACATCTCCCAAAGTGGGACCCCTGGGCTCAGGGGCAGAGGTGATGACCCCCTGGGTAAGGACGACCACAACGTAACGTGGACATTTTGGCAAAAGGAGCAAAGACAGAACCTGGAAGTGGACCCAGAACCGTGCACCGGGTTAAACTGCTGCTTCCTCATCACCTCCACGGCTGCCAGCACTGGCATCACCTCCACTTTGCTGGGAGAGCTGCTTTCAACCAAGAGCTGGCAAGAGGCCAGGTAGTAAGAGAGCCAAAGAGTGTGGCAGGGCTCAGGCACACACGCCCCCCGGGGCCTCCTTCATGAGGGCAGTGCGGTTTGTGCGCGCAGGAAGCAGCCAAGACTCGCTCTCCAGCCCTGGTCTTGCTCAGAGCTCCCTGCAGGGGCTGGCCTGGCACCAAGGGCAGGAGAGAAAAGAAAGTCTACAGGCCAGAAAAACAACAAAACAGATGTAAAAGCACAGACTGGCTGTTTCACAGAAGCTGACAAGGTGAGCTGAAATTCATATGGAAATACAAGGGACCCAGAAGAGCCCAAACAACCTTGAGAAAGAAGAACAAAGTTGGAAGACTCACACTTCCTGATTTCAAAACTTACTACCTGGTTAGAATAATCAGGACAGTGTGATCCTGACGTAAGGATAAACAGATCAATGAACTAGAATAGAAAGTCCAGAAATATACCCGTATGTTTATGGTCAATTGATTTTTGGCAAAAGTATCAGGGCCATTTAAAAGGGAAAGATAGTTTTTTCGACAAGAGGTGCTGGGACAGCTGGATAGCCCCATGCCAAAGAATTAATTTGGGCCCTACGCCTCCAACTGCACACAACAATTAACTCCAGAAATTAACATTTAGGATCTAATACCTCAAGGTAAGAGCCAAACTATAACACTTAAAGGGAAACTTAGGTGTAAATCTTTGTGACCTTGGGTTGGGCAACAGTTTTAGTGAGACACCTAAAACACAAACCACCAAAGAAAAAAATAAATGGGACTTCCATCACAATTAAACACTTTCGTGCTTCAAAGATCACTAACAAGAAAGTGAAAAACCTCACAGAGGAAATATTTGCAAACTGTCTACCTAGTGTCTAGTACCCAGAATATATAAAGAACTCTAACAACCCAGCAATAAAAAGGCAAATAAATGTATTAACATTTAAATTAAATTTGGAGGAAGGATATAGAGATATTTCTTCAAAGAAGATACACAAAAACCAACAGGTACATGAAAACATGCCCAATGTTAGGGGCACCTGGGTGGCTCAGTCGGTTAAGCGTCTGCCTTCAGCTCAGGTCATGATCCCAGGGTCCTGGGATCGAGTCCCGCATCGGGCTCCTTGCTGAGCTGGAAGCCTGCTTCTCCCTCTCCCTTTCCCCCGCTCATGCTCTCTCTGTATCTGTCTGTCTCTCTCTGACAAATAAGTAAATAAAATCTTAAAAAAAAATATGCCCAATGTTAGTCAGCAGGGAAATGCAGATCAAAACCACAATGAGATACCAGTTCACACCCACAAAACAAGTGGACAACAGCGAGTGTTGCTGGTGAGAATGTGGGAGCCTTCCCACGTTGCTGGTGGGAAGGTACATTGAGCAGCCACTTCAGAAAATACTTTAGTGGCTCCTCAAAAAGTCACATACGGAGTGGCCATATCACCCGGCAAGTCTATTCCTAAGTGTATACCCAAGAGAAATGAAAACATATGTCCATACACAAACATGCACAGGAATGTTCAAGGTAGCATTATTCACAACAGTCAAAAAGTAGAAACAACCCCGATGCCTACCAACCGATGGATGGACAGATTGTGGACGATCCACACAGAGGAATATCAGCCACACAGAGCCATGAGGCTCTGACACGTGCCAGAATGTCAATGAACCTTGGAAACTCATGCCAGTGAAAGAATGCAGACAAAAAGTCACATGTTGTAGGATTCCATTTCTGTGAAATGCCTAGAATAGGCAAATCCATAGAGACAATCGATCAGGGCCTGGGGGAGAAAGATGGGGAGGCGCTGCTTAATGCATGGGGTGGTACTCCAGCTGGGGGCTGGGAAAGTAAAACCGATCTACAGTTAGATTGTGCTGCTGGTTGCACAACCTTGTGAATACGCTAAAGACCACCGACCTGTACATTTTATTAAGATTTTATTTTTTTAAGTAATCTCTACACCCAATACAGGGCCTGAACTCACAACCCCAAGATCAAGAGTCGCATGCTTTACCAACTGAGCCAGCCAGGCACCTCATCTCAAAAAATGTGTTTTAAAAGGAGCACAGCCTGGAATTCTGAGGTTCTCTGAGTTACCATAAATGTTTCAACGTCTGGTTGACTTTCAACATCTCTGCCAGGCTCTCTGCCACTTCATCATTGAGTTCATTTTTGGTGAGCCTAGAAAAGAAAGGAAGGGTTTACTCAGGAGAGCCATACCTGGCACACATTCTTAAATGAGTTCTCAGAAGTGGGATCCCAGCCCGGATCTCTCCAGCCTAGGTTGCCAATCACTAGCTGAACTGAGCAAACAGCCAGGTCCCAATCCTACCCTCTGAGCCCCACAGACAATAAAGGGTGGTTCATTTCTCGTGCAAATCCTGTACCCAAGCTCCTACTTCTTAGCTCTGCTTCTCTAGCGGAGCCCAAGCTCCCTTCCCATGTGCTGGGGCCTCAGATCCCAGAGAAGATAGGGGCCAATGCCTGCTTCCCAGGCTTCTTCCAGCCCCCAAAGCCCCTTGAACATCTCTGACAGCCTGTTACCAAAGTCAGTCGTAGGAAGACTTAGAAAAGCCTGTCAACTACACGTTAAAATGTGCTCAATGCTCTGGTCTGAAGCCCGTCGTGAAGGACCCATGTTCAGGGACTCAAAGTTCAGGAAGTCTCTCAGCTGTTCTTGAAACCAGAAGAAATCCAGATAAAGCATAGAGGACTCTTAGCTCTGTAAATAGGATTGGACCCTGTTGTGCCAGTGGATGAAAGAATAAAGAAGAATGAAACAGAATCTTAAAAAAAATCATTCCTCAAAAGGCAATTTGGCGGCATCTGTCTGAATTTTAAACATGTTGTACTTTGAGCCCACAGTGGCACTTCTGGACACTGACCCTGCAGTGTGCAAACATGTGCACACAAGGATCTGTGTGTGCGGTATCGACCGCAGTGGTATCGGTCATAATGTAAAGTGGGAACACCAGTGAATATCAGCAGAGGCTACTGGGAAACTAAATTGCAAACATCCATTCAATGGGACGTTGTACAACCTTTAGAGGGAATGAGGTAGAGAGAATGAGGCAAAAGAACATGATATTTAAGAGAACTCAGGAGCCAGACATGCCCAGTGTGTGTCACTCACTAGCAGGACAACCAGGGGGCAGGTGGTTTAACTTCTCTGGGCCTGAGTTTTCTCACCAGAGAAATAAGGTGAACACTCATAGTATAGACATTATGGGGTGGCTATGAGGGGGAGTGAACACATATAAGGGGCTGAGAATAGGGCCACCTGGGTGGCTCAGTCAGTTAAGCGTCCAGCTCTTGATTTTGGCTCAGGTCATGATCTCAGGGTTGTGAGACTGAGCCCCGTGTTGGGCTCTGCACTGGGCGTGGAGCCTGCTAAAGATTCTCTCTCTCTCCCTCTGCCCCCCACACTATTCACTCTCTCTCTCTCTCCCGCTCTCAAAAAAAAGGTAAAAGGCCGAGAAGAATGCATGGCATAGTCAGCACTCGAGAAACGTTCGGTAGTAACATTGTTACTACTAATAATATAGAGCAGGGGTTCTCAACTGGGTGCTTTTCCCTCTAGGGGACATTTGTCCACATCTGGAGACATTTTTGATCATCACAATTGGAGGGTACTGCTGGTGTCTAATGGGTAGATGCCCAGGATTCTGCTAAACATCCTATAATGAACAGGACAGCCCCTCCCGAGAATGATTTGGACCAAAATGTCAACTGTGTTGAGACCGAGATACCCCTGACATAAAAGGACATGTAAAATGTGGACAACATGTGGTTCAGATTTTTTTTTTTTAAGATTTATTTACTTTAGCGTGCCCATGCACAGTGGGGAGGGGCAGGGGGAGAGAATCTTTTTTTTTTTTTTAAAGATTTTATTTATTTGACAGAGAGAGACACAGCGAGAGCAGGAACACAAGCAGGGGGAGTGGGAGAGGGAGAAGCAGGCTTCCCGCTGAGCAGGGAGCCCGATGCAGGGCTCGATCCCAGGACCCTGGGACCATGACCTGAGCCGAAGGCAGACGCTTAATGCCTGAGCCACCCAGGCGCCCTGGAGAGAATCTTGAACAGACTCTGCACTAAGTGCAGAGCCTGACACAGGGCTCGATCTCACGACCCTGAGATCATGACCTGAGCTGAAATCAAGAGTTGGACGCTTAACCGACTGAGCCACCCAGACGCCCCTTAAGATATTTTTTAAAAGCCACTTGCTGGGGCGCCTAGGTGGCTCAGTCGGTTAAGCGTCTGCCTTCGGCTCAGGTCATGATCCCGGGGTCCTGGGATCGAGCCCCCAATCGGGCTCCCTGCTCAGCAGGAAGCCTGCTTCTCCCTCTCTCACTCCCCCTGCTTGTGTTCCTGCTCTCGCTGTTTCTGTCAAATAAATAAATAAAATCTTAAAAAAATAAATAAAAGGCACTTGCTAAATGCTCTTCTATTTTGTAAGAAGATGCTATTTCTATTATTCTAGAAGGCTAGAATATACATTCAAAGGCTAGAAGAAAAAGGTTGATCTGGAAAACACGAGGGAGGAACTACTTTCACTTCCTACTTTTTGACTTCCTTACAGTTTTTTAAAAATATTTCAAAGTACTTTTAAAGGTTTTTTTTAGAGGAAAAGAATTAAAAATGCATTCACTGGCCAGCAGGTCTAGTAGGAGAACTCTCAAAATGATGATATTGTCAATATTAACGAACTCAGCTGATATCTCAGGTGCCTTGAGTCCCTAATACAGTTCACTCACCCGTAAGGAATTTATGATACAGGCAAGTAAATAAAATTCAAATAAATTAGAGTAAATGACAAAAGGAAAAACAACCCCCCCCCCCAAATCACGGTCAGAAGGCAACATACACTAAATTAGTACCCCTGGAGGACAGAGAGGGAGTGAGGAATGTGGGCTTCCTGTGACGGGTAAGCTGGACCACGAAGGGCCAGATTGTGAGGGGGCTGCATGGGAGGAAGGCAGCTTAAGAGGAGGAAGGGAGAAAAGTCTGAGCCAAGTGCACCAAAATTGGACTCTGCAAGGCCTATGTGAAGGTGCTCTGAGGATAATCCTGACAGAATGACCAGCCTTCGGGTTTTCCTGAGGTCTGGGTTGGCAAAGAAGGCAAAGGTCAAACCCATGCTCCTGGGGCCCACCTCCCCGCTTCTGTATATCTGTTTGTGCTTCTAGGAATGGCTGTTTTCTCTTCTAGGAGGAAATTATCAACTCAACACTGAGGAAAGGCCTAGAGCCTTTTCAATTAAAAAGGTGGTTTTTCAGTTAAGATTCCAGGCTGTACGGTCTTTGGAATAATCCCTGAGATCCAACCTTTCAAAAGGACTCTGGTTATTACCAGAATATTCTCAGAGAGGTGTTGTGCTGCAGGGCCTGTGCGAGGCTCTTTCCTCCTTCTGTGGAGATGCCGTTGAATGCAAGACTAGGAAGGAAAACATGTGGGGTCAATCGTTAGAGACACGTCTACATTTGGCTTTGGCTTCAGCAACCGAAACACCCAGAAGATGCTGCCTGGAGGCGGCCCCTGCCCAGACGGAAGCTGACTTGAGGCAGGAAGCAGAAGTGCTCCGCCGGGCCAGCAGCAGTTCCAGCGTTGTTGCTCCAGGGCACAGGCTCTGAGCAGGAGGGCAGGCACAAGACCGCTCAAGGAGAGGCCAGACAGGAAACGGAACATCAGCGAGACCTGGTCCCAAGCAGATCAGGGGCTGGGAGGGCTCTGCTTCAGGCGGCTGACGTTTTCAGTGTGCCCATCAATAAGGCCTGGAGAAGTGTCCTCTGTTCTCATGAAGAAGAAACTCTGCTGTTGCCCCACTAACTTGGGTTTCTTTTTCAGTGTTAGGAAGAACCCGGGCAACAGGGAGACACCCGAAGCTCTGAGATTTGGCCAGAGGACTAAAAGAAGGCCAGGGAGGAGTAGGTCTTTACAGGGAGGAAGGTTCCCTTCTGTCTCAGCACCGTCCTGTGAGTGAGGAAGGGGCATCCCTTTCAGTGTTATCTGGACTTGAGAATTCCTCCCCACTCCCCCACTGCCAAGGAGCCTGGGGAGACTGCAGAGGGGCTGGCAAAGTCCTAGGTCTTGATCCGGGTGACGGGTACATTGGTGTGCACATATGACAAGTGGCCAAGCTGAACAGTAATGTGCTATGCTATTTACATGTCCATAAAACTGTTTACGAAAGAAAAATCCCCCCCACACATTAGGAAAGCCAACCACTCTCTTCCCCTTGGCTCCTCCCCTCGCAAACCAGGAGGCACACAGAGTGACCAGGTTGGACCCTGGGGACAGCAGGTCTCAGAAAGCAGCAGGTACCTCAGGTTGGTCAGGCTGGGGTGGTTCTTCAGAGCCTCCGCGAAGGCCTTTGCTCCTTCATCGCCGATTCTGTTGCCCCACATCCTGAAGGCAGAGGCAAGACGGTGAACGGGAGCTCGTGCTCCCCCCTGACTTGCTGCTGGTGGTCACGCTTGGTTGCACACTCACAGGCAGAGGTCTTGGTTTTGTCCCTGGAGCCCCGGCCTGGGGAATGTTCCCACACCAGCCCCTTAGTGAAGCTGCTCTAGGCTTCAAATGCAAAGGGATAAGAGCAGCAGAAGCCCATTGGGTAGATGCACCAGGAGAGACTAAGATCACCGTGGGTTTTCAGAGAGCCGTCAGAGGGCCCGAGCACACGACTGTCGCAGAAATGCCCCCGCCACCACCGAGGATGTGGGTTGGCAGCAACCTGAAAGGGAGCCTGTGGAGGTGCCAACTGCCAGCATCCATTTGACCCTCTGCAGGGCTCTGAGACACTCGTGAGGACACAGTCGGTCTTCCAAGAAGCAAAGATCAGGAAGCACCCTCGGAAACCTCACCAGCAATGCTGCTTTTAGGTGAAGAGGACCCTACTCCAGCGTGCTAGTGGGTTGTTGTGGTCTGGGGGGCTGGGCGGGGAGCTGCAATAACAAAGCCCCATACCCTCCCACAGCGTATAACCTGCAAGGTTCTGAGAGGCAGGATGCTGGGCTCCCGTGTTAACTGGATTTTTATCTGGATTTAAGATTATGTGAATTACATTATCTCTTGGAACTTAGTCTCCTCATCTGTAAAATGGGGCTAATAAGAACATTCCCCCTAGAGTTATTGTGGGGATTAAATTAATATATGCAGAGCACTTAGAATAGCGCCTGGCCTACAGCAAGTGACACCTATTTTTAATAGGTGGAGAGCACTGTGTGCCCGGCCCACGCACAGCAGACCTGGCACCGCCTGGGCAATGGGCTCTCACTGCACCAGCGACCCGCCACCATGCTCCTGGAGATGCTAGAGCCCTGCAATGAGTTCTCAGTGTTTTGCCTAAAAAGTATGTGTATTCGAGGAGGATGTGGAGAAAGGGGAACCCTCTTACACTCTTGGTGGGAATGCAAACTGGTGCAGCCACTCTGGAAAACAGTATGGAGGGTCCTCAAAAAGTTAAAAATAGAACTACCCTGTGGTCCAGCAATTACACTACTAGGTATTTATCCAAAGGATATAAAAACACTGATTCAAAGGGACACATGCACCCCAATGTTTATGGCAGCATTATCTACAATGGCCAAGCTATGGAGAGAGACCAAATGTCCACTGATGGATGAATGGATAAAGAAGATGTTGTGTGTGTGCGCGGGCACCCGCGCGCGCGCGCGCACACACACACACACACACACACACACACACACACACACACACACAGTGGAGTATTATTCAGCCATCAAAAAGAATGAAATCTTGCCATTTGCAACAATGTGGATGGAGCTAATGAGTATAATGCTAAGTGAAATAAGTCAGAGAAAGATAAATACCATATGATTTCACTCATATGTGGAATTTAAGAAACAAAATAAATGAACATGGGCGAGGGAGAGTGGTAAACCATAAAACAGACTCTTAACTACAGAGAACAAACCTCGGTTTGCTGGAGGGAGGTGCAGGGGGGAGAGGATGGGCTAGACGGGGGGTGGGCTTTAAGGAGGGCACTTGTGATAAGCACCGGGTGTTGTAAATTCTACTCCTGAAACTAATATACTATATGTTAACTAACTGGAATTTAAATAAAAAATTGAAACTACAAAAAAAAGGTATGTGTACTATATGGTTGAATGGTATCAAATTTTTAATAGAGTGGAAAACTACTTGTGATATGAGATTAAATGAAAAAGAATAAAATTCTGTACATACAGTTTGACCTTTACTATATTAAAAAAAAAATAGATCTGCCTTCGGCTCAGGTCATGATCCCAGGGTCCTGGGATCGAGCCCCGCATTGGGCTCCCTGCTCAGTGGGGAGCCTGCTTCTCCCTCTGCCCCTCCCCTGCTTGTACTCCCTCTCTGTCAAATAAATAAAATCTTAAAAAAAAAAATAGAGCACACACCTGCATGTGAGAGCAAGAAAGTTTAACTGACTTCAAATGTTGATAATATTTGAGATGATTTTTAGTATATTTTTCATAAAATCAATTTTGTAAAATTATCTGTTTCTTTTATAATAATATAAAAATTATAACAATACAAAAAGGTTGAAGAAGCCTCCAGAATCAAAACCACAATGAGATATCACCTCATACCTGTTAGGATGGTTACTACCAAAAGAACAGAGAATAACAAGCGTTGGCAAGGATGTGGACAATCCGGAACCCTTTTGCACTGCGGGTGCGCATGTAATGCAGTGCGGCTGCTGTGGGAAACAGTGTGGCATTTCCTCAAAAACCTAAAAATAGACTTACCAGCTGATCCAACAACTCCACTTCTGGGTATACAGCCAAAAGAAATCCAAGAGATCCTTGTACACCCATGTTCCTAGCAGCACTACCCACGAGAGCCAAAATGCAGAAGGTGCCCAAGTGTCCACTGACAGACGAACGGACAAAATGTGGCGCATACATACAGTGGACTGTTTGTTACTTAGCCTTAAAAAGGAAGGAAATTCCAACACAAGCTACAGCGTGGATGAGCCTTGAGAACCCTGGGCCAAGTGAAGTAAGCCGGGCACAAAGACACAAATAGTGTATGGTGCCGCTTCTGTGAGGTACCTATTGAAGGCAAAGTCACAGGGACAGGAAGTCGGAGGGTGGTGGGGGGGGGCTGGAGGGAGGGAGGACGGGAGTTATCTGGGAATGGGGAGAGAGATTTTTGCAAGATGAAAAGAATTATGGAGATGGACAGTGGTGATGGTTGCACAACGATGAGGATGCATATCGCCCCTGAACTGTATCCCTACAGATGGTGAAGATGGTAACTTTTTATATGTATTTTACCACAATTAAAAAAAAATAAAAAAAAAAACGAATTAAAAAAAAATGGCCTCAGCGCCTGGGTGGCTCAGTGGGTTAAGCGTCTGCTTTCAGCTCAGGTCATGATCCCGGGGTTCTGGGATTGAGCCCCGCATCGGGCTCCCTGCTCCACGGGGAGCCTGCTTCTCCCTCTGCCTCTGCCTGCCCCTCCCCCTGCTTGTGCTCTGTCAAATAAATAAATAAAATCTTTTTTTTAAGATTTATTTATTTATTTTGAGAGAGTGAGAATGAGAGAGAGAGAGAGTACACGAGAGGGGGGAGGGTTAGAGGGAGAAGCAGGCTCCTCGCCGAGTAGGGAGCCTGATGTGGGACTCGATCCCGGGACTCCAGGATCATGACCTGAGCCGAAGGCAGTTGCTTAACCAACTGAGCCACCCAGGCACCCTTGAAATAAAATCTTTAAAAAAAAAAGAAAAAAAAAAGCCTCCAGGGAGTATAGAACATTGCTAAGATGAAGACCATCTGCCTGTGGAAAGTTACCCCATAGGCTAGAACGGCTCCCTCTGTTCGCTGGCGGTGAGAATAACGGACTTTTACATGAATGAAGTAAGTGTGCACAAGGGAAGCTGCAGTCCGGCCTGAGGCTTGGGTATATTTACATCAGAGAACAGCAGTGGCACGCTCGAACGCCGAGCAGCGTGTATCTCACACACTCACACTTGCACGTGCGTGCACACGCGCGCTCGCCTCCACTCACCCGATCTCAAAGATCGATTTGCTGTTCTTCACAGCCAGGGCGAGGCACCTTCCTCCTTCACTCGTTATTTTGTTCTGCCCCAGTCTGTAGAGAGAGCCGTGCACAGGTCAGCCCCCAGCAGTGGGGGGACCCCACTGTCAGCTCCTCGTCACCCGCTCTCCTGGGACCTGCGGCGCCCATGCCCCTGGCTTCCTCACAAGGAAGGCCCCACCGCCCTAGAGAGAGCCGTCAGAATCCTCTCCAGGACACTGGTCGATGTCTCTGACGAAACTTAGGGACCCAAGCTTTCCCGGGGGTTCTTTAAATGGCCTTCGGTGTGTCCCTCATTTCCCTCAGCAGACCCGGGAGGTTCCCGCCTCAGCTGCAAGTGACCAAGGTGTGCGTTCTGTCACCTGGGCAGCACCAGGGGCTCCTCTGAGCCCGGAGCTTGGTCATCTCTGGCAGAGCATGTCTGGGACAGGCCCAACGATCCAGCTCTTCCTGGCAACCATAATGTTTGTGTCCCCCCAAAATCCATATGCTGAAACTCTAACCCCTCAGGTGATGGTATTAGGAGGCAGGGCCCTTGGAGGTGATTAGATCGTGAGGGCGGAGCTGTCGTGAATGAGATCAGTGATTTATAAGAGCCCCTTCCCCCCCCACCACCGAGCTCCCTTGCCTCCTTTTCCACCATGTGAGGACCCAGCAGAAAGGCCCTGTCCGTGAACCAGAAGCCAGACCCTCCCCTGGCCCTGCGGAAACTCGAGCCTCCCCCTTAGGCCATGATTCCTCTGTGCGGACAGCTTACCTTCCACACACAGGTCTCACTTGATCAGTATGGCTCTGGGCAAGCAGAAGGCTTTAGGGCGAGTGCTCTTTATGGTGACATTTATACTGTTTGCATAATGAAGGGGTGACCACAGAGGCTACTGAATAACCTGCCACGCCTACCCCCCACTTACTTCAGGTGTGTGAGGCCTTTGCACTCGTCCAGGATTCTGGCGATGTACCTGGCTCCAACGTCAGTGATCTGGTTGTTGTACAGGCTTCGAGAGAAAGCACAGCATGAGACTTTAGGATCCCAACCTCAGCTTTTTTTTTTTTAAGTATAGTTGACACAGTGTTACATTAGTTTCAGGTGTACAACATAGTGAATCCACAAGTTTATAAGTTATGCTATGTTCACTACAAGTGTAGCTACCATCCGTCACCATAGGATGCTCTTACAATATCACTGACCAGGGGAACCCTCCTACACTGTTGGTGGGAATGCAAGCTGGTGCACCACTCTGGAAAACAGTACGGAGGTTCCTCAAAAAAGTGGAAAATAGAGCTATCCTAAGACCCAGCAATTGCACTACTGGGTATTTACCCCGAAGATACGAATGTAGTGATTCGAAGGGGCACCTGCACCCCAATATTTATAGCAGCAATGTCCACAATAATCAAACTGTGGAAAGAGCCAAGATGCCCATCGACAGATGAATGGATAAAGAAGATGTGGTATATATACACAATGGAATATTATGCAGCCATCACAAAATGAAATCTTGCCGTTTGCAACAACGTGGATGGAACTAGAGGGTATTATGCTGAGCGAAATAAGTCAGGCAGAGAAAGACAAGTATCATATGACCTCACTAGTATGTGGAATTTAAGAAACTAAACAGAGGAGCATAGGGGAAGGGAGGGAAAAATAAAACAAGACAGAATCAGAGAGGGAGACGAACCATAAGAGACTCTTAATCACAGGAAACAAACTGAGGGCTGCTGGAGGGGAGAGGGGTGGGGGGATGGGGTGGCGGGGGGATGGGGTGGCTGGGTGATGGGCATTAAAGCATGTGAGGTAATGAGCACTGGGTACTACATAAGGCTGATGAATCACTGACCTCTACCTCTGAAACCAATAATACATTATATTATATATATATATTAATTAATTGAATTTAAATTAAAATATTTCTATTGAAAAACAAAACAATATCATTAACTATATTCCTTACTCTGTGCTTTTTATTCCTGTGTCCCAGTGTCATCTTAATGACCATTTTTAAAATGGGTATGTGCTGGATGCCGATTTCTAAAGTCTGGGCTGAAAGGAGAGAGGAAGGACACACGGAGAGTAGTCTGGAGCTCTGGGGTCTCGCAGGCCGGGTTCAGAGCCAGCTCTGCCACGGGCCCGGCCTCTGCTCAGCATCTGTAATAAGGAGCAGCAATCACGGCTCCCCCACAGGGGCATCAGGACAATTGCGTGTGATGACCCCCAAGCCTGCGTGCGCAACCGGCGGCACGTGATGGGTATTGTTCGATTGAGGTTACAAGCAGCATCTTGAGGGGAAAATGTTTGAGTGTTGGAACCTCCTCACTGCTCCCTGTTAGTCATTTTACCCCCGACACCAATTCAGCAAGAAGGCAGAGAGAAGCTGAAGGTGGTAACTAGACGGGTTTCAAGTGTCCCTCAGTCACACACAGCTCCCGAGCCGAACGGCAGCCTGCGATCGTGTGCTTCCAGGGCCTCGCTCCACCGCGGAGGGAGGGGAGGCCCAGGGGCTGCCGACAGGCTGCAGCTCAGTCAGCAGAGGCCACCAGCGCTCACACTCCAACTCCCAGAGGCTCTGAAAACCCAAAGCTTTTCACAACCATTCTGGCCCCTGATGTGGCGCCATTCGTGGTCTTTATCCTAACTGCTTCGACTATTCATACATTTTGCTGCAGAAATATTAAAGTATTTGAAACCAGGGTGAATGCCCTTGACCTCACTGGTCATTATCATCACAATACAGCACGTACACTGAATTCTGATTGGTGTCTGGCCCTCAGGGCTCTGGATGAGAGATCATGGGCCCACAGTGGTGAATCTAATGCGTAAACAGTATCTAGCATTTATGAAACATAGCCCCGGGGTGCCTGGGTGGCTTGCTGGTTAAGCATCCGACTCTTGATTTCGGCTCGGGTCATGATCTCAGGGTCCTGGGATCGAGCCCTATGTCGGGCTCCACTCTCAGTGGGGAGTCTGCTTAAGATTCTCTCTCTCCCTCTGCCCCTCCCTCCACTCAGCTCAGTCTCCCTCAAATAAATAAATCTTAAAAAAAAAAAATATCCCCAGCTATTCCCTCAGCAGCCCCCAACCACCACCCGTCAAACACTTGCCTATGTTAAGATCCCAATACACAAGTGAAAAGGCTGCAGCTCTGCCACATTTCCTGACTTGCTCAAAGAGTGGGCTGCTGGTCGAGCCAAGAGCAGGACCCAGGACTCCCGGCTCCCCGTTCGGGACCTTCCTGGTGCCTCGGCCATCATCCCAACCGTCCAGCGACCCACACGAATGGCAGTTCCCCACTCCTCTGTTTTATTGCTACATCCCTGGCCTGGCACTGTTCAGGAATACATACCCTAAGAAGGTCAGAATTTTGTATTTGGTCAGCTCTTCATATAGCACCTTTACCCCGCTGTCTGTGATCTGGTTTACACTGAGTCTGAAACGAAACAGCAAAGAAAGTTACAAATCATGGCAGCTGCTCACTATGAAGCAGCATCAATGCCACAAGGACCCAGGAGCCTGTAGGTCCTGAAGTTTCTCCCCCCCTCCCCCCCCCCAGAAACACCCCCTGAGAGGGTGGCCAGAGCAGTCAGCCAAATAGCTCCTAAAAAGCCCAGTTGTCGTGGGGCCGACAGACCCACACAGAACCCGCCGGTCAGTAGGCACGGCACAGCCCCGACCCAACAGGAGGGCTAGAGGGACACATAAAGGACACGGGAGGCCAGCCAGCTCTGACATCCGTCATTTGTGGGTGGCCTCGTGTCAGCCAGGCCCTCTCTGTGGTTCTCATTGCATAGCAGCGGCCGTGGGATTTGGAACCGCGCGGAGCTGCTTCTAGTGATGAAAAGCTGGACGAGGGAACGCTCCCCCGTCTTGCAAGTGGGGCCAGAGATAGTGTGTGTCCTGCAAAAGGCAGAAAATAGAGAACGGTCTCAGCCACTATGCCGACAGCCTCCCCATCCACAGAGGGGGCAAGAAAAGAGAGCCTTCAGGATGGTGGTGGTCTCCTGCACAAGGACCAGCCACGCGCTAGAATTGTTCTGCACAATCCCCATACTAACAGGGTATCTTGATGTGGCTAAAATGTGAAATGCTTTTACTACCAAGTAATCTGTATAACAAACTACCCTGATTTTTTCAACCCTCCACCCCATTATTTAGGTGAGGCTGAAGGACACAGTAAGGCTCTGGGATGGATGAGAGTGAGCTATCAGGGGTGGGTGAGATAATAATCCAAGGGTCAGCAAACTTCTTTCTAAAGGGCCAGAGAGCAAATATTTTAGGGTCTGAGGGCTGTGTGGTCTCTATTGCAACTACTTGACTCCGTAGTGTGAAGCAGCTGATATGTAAACAAATGGGTGTGGCTGTGTTCCAATAAAACTTTATTTACAAACACAAGCCCTGGGCCAACCTGGGCCCACAAGCTGACCTCTGTAATAAATGAAAGGCTGGGGCGCCTGGGTGGCTCAGTTGGCTAAGCGATTGCCTTCAGCTCAGGTCATGATCCTGGAGTCCCGGGATCAAGTCCCGCGTCGGGCTCCCTGCTCAGCAGGGAGTCTGCTTCTCCCTCTGATCCTCCCCCATCTCATGTGCTCTCTCTCTCTCTTTCAAATAAATAAATAAATAAATCTTTAAAAAAAAATAAATGAAAGACTGAACAAGTAAAAGTTAGATTTTCAGGCCACATCAAAATGATCAGGTCCAATACTCAGGACCCCTCCTCCCATGGTGCCCACTTTGGTGCTGGGGCACAGAGCGTACACACACTGCGTGGCCGCCTCAGGGTGGTAGAGGCTACTAGTCACATCCAGTATCTGTGCTTCCTTAGAAGGAGAATCCTCCATTTCTTTAACTGGGCACATGGGATTAAGTTCTGCCCTGGGAAATCTAAGCAGAAGTCTCATTAGCAATAGCTGAGAAGTCTTCTTAAAAGAATGAGGTTTGTCCTTCTTTGCCCTTTCTTCTTCCTGGTGGCTGGAATGTCAACTGAATGGCTGGAAATGAGCAGCCATCTTGGGCCAAGAGGTGGAAATCAGGTAGTGAGGGTAGCAGGGCCACTGCAAAGCAGAAGAGAGCCTGGGCTCCTGAGGGTCATGGAGGCACCATAGCAGCCCTGAACTGCCCTCCTCTGGACTTTTCCATGGGAGACAAGCTTGTAACCTATCTAAGCTTTCACTAACTCTCAGTCAAAATTAACCCTAACTGATGGTCTCAAGGAGCTCAAAATGCTTCTCTGGAGTTGCCCATTTCCTCCTGCTCTCTCCTTTACTGGTGTGGAGGAAAATGTCACCCAAGGACAGCTGCCTGGGGCAGGAGCACCACCTTGGTGTGCCCCATCTCGTGAGATGAGCACTGGGGGCCTGGAGTGTGAGTGCACCCCAGGCTGAGAGCACAGAGAGCAGTCCAGGGCAGCCTTGGGCTCCCTGCACCCCACCATCCCCCACATAATGTACACCGTGGCACTGGTGTTACAGGCACCCAGGATCCATTCCAAATCCCCTCTGCTCCTCAGAAATGCATGAGCCAAGTTATGAGAACTGAAACCCTCACAGAGATTTACAAGGTGTATTTTATAGAGGAAATGCTAACAGAAGAAAGCAGACTGGCCTCTCTTTCCTCTAAACCATCAAACAGGAAACCCCTCAAGAGTCAGCACTCTGTACTAGGATCCCTGGCAGCTCAAGGCTGCTGGCTTTGATCACGGAAAGTAATTGAGGCCGAAAAGCACACAGAGTCTGCTTTTTCTGCAATCACAAAAGCTCCCACGTGCCAGAAACCGTTCACGGGCCATCTCTGAGCCTCCCATGAATCTCAAAAGGTTGGTTCTTTATGATTCTGGTTCCATCGTGGCCCTGCCGTGTGCCCTCGAGAACATCTCTGTGCCTCCACTTCCTCATTTGCCAAATGAAGACAAGAGTGCCTACCATATATAGGGTGGAAGATTCACTCACGTAAAATCTGAAATGCACTTCACCCGTTCTCAATAATGCGGGCTGTTACTACTGTAACTGCTAGGATACCAGCAACTCCCTTAGCCAGACGAGATATCAGAGAGGTTAAGCAACTCATTCAAGGACACCCAGCCGGGGCCTCCTGCCACAGAAGCTGTGCTCCTTGCCCTCTACCATCCTGCAACAGAACAGGTCCGGGTGTTCCAGGACCAGTGGTCATGAGTGCCAGGGTAAGTCAGGAGCTCCTACGCCTCGAGGCACGTCCTGGCCCCACTGGCTGCTCCCTGTGCCCAGCATCCTTACCTGATGACGGTGAGGCGGCTGAAGCAGGGCTGCAGCTCCTGCACGCCGTAGTCGTTGAGATTGTTGTTGTCTAGGTCAAGGGCAAGCCGCTTCCGGAAGTGGTGCAGGACGAAGGAGAGGGCGCTGCAGTCGGCCGAGCACGCGTTGCAGTAGGTCAGCTTGAGGTAGTTGGCGCAGATGCCCTTGGCCGCCAGCCGCCCCACCTTCTCGCTCTGGGTCTCGTAGATGCAGCGCAGCATCCAGAGGAAGGTGGGCATGGCCTGTACCTGGTTGAAGCCCCCCGACTGCACTCGGGGCAGGTTCTTCAGGTGGGTCTGCAGGCTGGCCAACAGGTGTGCCCACAGGGCCTTGCGCTTTCTCCGCAGGGCCGCGGCGGGCACCAGGTGCTGCAGGAGTTTCTGCTTGGCCTTGGACAACAGCCCGCACAGGAAGAGGTTAGTGAACTGAAAGTGATCCTTGTTCTTGAAGGGGTCCTCCCCTGCCAGGCCACTGCCCTTCAGGCACTGGAAGGGGAGAAAGGGGGGGTAGCAGGACTGGCCTCCTGCCCCCCCAGGAGGTGCCCACTCCTGGAAGAACCTGAGCAGCTGCTGAGTGCCCACCTTGTCGTCCATGACGAGAAAGAAGGCGGTAAAGAAGGCCTGGAGGGTGAGGTGGAAGAACTCATAGGACTGCTGGTCGCCGCCCAGGCCCTGCTCGGGCACAGCCCGCAGGAAGCCCAGCTGCAGCTCCGCCTCCTGCATCTCAGCCGCCTGCACCTCCTCCGGGCCAAAGACAAAGAGGTTCTTCTCCATGCCCCAGTGGGCCACCTGCCCCAACGAGCGCAGGGCGCCGTGGCCAGCGCGGAACGTCTCGGTCTGGCTGCGCGTGTTCCGCTGCACCAGGCTGGTGGGCTGAGTCCTGTTCAGGTGGACCTCGGTCACAAGCAGGAAGACATCAGTCAGGGTCACCGTGCAGTCGGGCAGCTGCGCAGAGCCCTCCCAAACACTGCCGAAGTGCTGGAAACAGCGGAAGATGATCCAGCAGAAGAGGGGCACGGCACACAGGCTGCAGAGGTTGGGGTTGGCCTCCAGCTGGGCCAGCAGGCGCTCCCGCACCACACGGTCGGGGAACACCTTCTGCGTGTAGGCGCGCAGGTGGCTGGGGGCGAAGCCCCGCAGAAGCACCTTCTTGCGGAGGAGCTGACGCGGGATCTCGATGCCTGTGCGGGCCGTGAGCAGCTTGCAGGCCCCCTTGAGCAGCTTCCCGCTGAGCAGGTTGGCCAGCAGGAGCAGTGGGTGGGCGGGCTCCCACGGGGAGCAGGTGTCTGGTGCACTGCTCAGGTCGAAGTCCGAGTGCAGCTCGTCCAGGCCGTCGAAGGTGAAGAGGGCCGTCTGGGGGAAGCGCAGCAGGAAGGCGAACACCTCGTCGGGGTCCTGCTCTGGGTAGCAGTAATGCTTGAAGAGCAGGTCCCGCAGGCACAGCGTGTCGCCCTCCTTGAAGCAGCTGAACACTCGGCAGCGGAAGTGGAAGAAGAACTTGAACTCGGCGTCCAGCAGCCCCGAGGCCCACAGGCTCTGCAGCCGCTGCAGCAGCATGGACTTGCCCACGCCCGCGTCCCCGCAGATGAAGATGGTCTCGCCCTGCTCGCTGAGGACGCCGGTGCAGTGGTCCAGGAGGCAGGCCAGGCTGCCCAGTGGGCCCAGGCTCTCGTTCCTGAAGCCCACCAGCTCCACGATGGTGTCGGTGTACATCTCCTCCAGCAGCAGCTCCTCCTTCTGCGCATAGCACAGCACGAACTTGGAGTCATGGCCCAGTTGCTGTCGCAGCTTCTCCGTGTACCTGCTCACTAGAGGGTGGGGGACGGAGGACAGCCAGGTCCCAGTGAAACGCTTTTTAAAGAAGTGTATGTATTTATTTAAGGCATCTCTACACCCAGCGTGGAGCTCCAACTCACCACCCCCAAGATCAAGGGCCACGGGCTCCCGGGACTGAGCTGCCCAGGAGCTGGAAACTTGTATTGTTGGGGAAGAAATTGCCCTAAACTTTCTTTTGCTTATCACATGGCTCTGAAAACAACGGGAAGTCTCAAAACTAAATACCAAAACTTTGAGCAAGAAGATACACCATTTGACATTAATCTGGATTACAAATGAGCTGTGCCAAAGCATAAAAAGAGAGTAAACTAAGATAAAAACCTTGTTCAACAGCACAGAGCACACCAGCCCCAGGCCCCCAGCCCATACCTGGGGGTCACTGACTTAGCACCTGCCCCCAGGGGAGCAGACAGGGTAACATGCTCACATGGGCCTGGAGCTCAGCAAACCTGAGCTAGAGGCGGGGCTTACACGGAGAGGGAGGTGGTCCTTCCCCAGACAAAAGGCTGTTCCATAAATTCCTTTAAAATACTTTTGGGATTTTAATTATAATTCAGTTAACAAAAATGAGACACACATGCCCATTTCCAAATTCATCTATAACCTCTTCCCCATCAACTCAGTCCAACTTGGTTGTCTGCTTAAAATTTGTGAATTTTACTTCTTACATCTTTTTAGTAGGCATAATTTATATACCACAAATTCACATATTTTACAATAGGCATTGTGGACTATTCAATAACTTTTAGTAAATTTACAAAGTTATGCAAACATCACTATAATCCAGTTCTAAAACCTCTCCATCATAAGCCCACTTCTAGCCAATCTCTGTCCCTGGCCCTAAGCAACTGCCAATCTTTCTGTCTCTATTAATTTGCCTTTTCTGGACATTTCGTATAAATAGAATCACACAAGATGGAATCTTTCACATCTGGCTTTGTAGAGTGACTTATATTTTAAAAGCTACTGAAGTAGTTGGCTAAAGGAACCAGCGGAGACGTCTTTTTGAAAGAACGATCACGGGCAGGAACATTTTCCTTTGCTCCCGGAGGAGGAAGCAGACTGAACCGGGAAGGGGCAGGAAAAGTAAGAAGCTAACAGCGGCCACAGCAGAGCTGGGCCCTGACCCTGCTCGTTGGCCTGGTTTCCCCCAAACACCCCTGATTGTCTGGGACACTGTCCTCTGTTTCTGTGTTCAAGGTCACACTGGATCCTTTAAACATCAGAGTTGGGGACCTTTGCTGGTATACTGCCAGCAAGTAACTCAAACTAGAGAGCACTCAGACATGGAAAGAAGGCTCCCCGGCGCCCAGACCAGATCATGGCCCCAGTTACGTGCGCTCATAGCAGCCTGGACTCCTTTCGTCCTGGTCACCACGTGCCATCACACATTCCTGCGACCATTTGCTATTGGGCCTCCCGCACTGGCCTCCGAGCTCCCTGAGAGCCGGAACCATATCCGGTCTGCTCCCCATTGTACCCCTGGCATCCAGCACCCTGCCTTGGCACATAGTAGGGACACCATCAATACTCGTTAAACGAATTGATTAACTAATGCAGTCCCACTGTGCTTGGGAAATCAGGACTGGCCACTAGGGGAGATAGCAGAATAGTTTGCCTAGGATAAAATCTGGAATGATTTTTAAAAGGAAAAAAATGCAACCTTGAATTTGTGCAACCATTAAAATGTCTATATGTGTCTGAATGGGAAGCAAGCAGGAAGTCAGAAGAGAGGCCCTTCCCACACTTTCACAGGCCTCTTTATAAGTCAGACTAGCTATATGTGCTCAGTTCAGCCCCGGGGGCGGCCCTTGGATGACGGGGAACATAGCACTGGGCCTACTGCCTGAGGTGGAGGGCCACAGTGGGCCACACGTTCATGCCCTGCTGAGCCCACATGCCATAGCATTTCCAAACCCCAGGGCTTTGCTGGGCGTCTGCAGTCCTCCCCGGGGCGGACTCATACCTGGGTCGGTGTTGACGACAACTTTGCTCTGAATGAGCTCGGAGGGGGAGAAGCCAGTCTCCGACAGCCAAGGCCTGAGATCCACATAAGCATCTGCGAGTCGCTGGAGCACGTAGAGGAAGAACTCGGACACCTCCTCGCCCTTGCTCTGTACCAGGTCCAGAATTTTGCGGACCTGGTGGCGGCATAAGCATGAGGGGTGGTGAGCTAGTGCCTGGGGAGTCCTCCTACCAGAAAAACTCACATGCAGGGCTCCAAGCTCCTACGACAGCCTGGAGCTTGACCGTCCACCCAGCAGTGTAAGATGCTACCTGTTGAAGACCTAGTATCTGTGAAGGGGACCCCCCCCACCCCGTAGTAAGAAATTAAACCACACAGCTCTAAGAAGCCGGGAGGCTTCCATGAACCTCAAAGTGAAAAGGTCAGACTCAAAAACGAGAGCTGTGCCCACCCCTGGAATCCTCCCTGTGTCTCCTGTCCGTCTTAAGCTCACGCTGCTGTTGGCCGGTAACGAGTGCTGCTGGGACAAAGTTACGGCACAGGTGGCATGAGGCAGGTGCTGGGCCACACAGCAAGGGGCTCACAGGGCCCCATCTAAGTTATACCCTAAAAAAGGCTTTTTGTATTATTAAAAATGCAGGGCGGGGGCAACCACACAAGTCAGCTACTATCTCCCCCCCAGCCCCAGAAATCCTCTGGTTTCCCCGGAGCCTGGCACGATCCCATTACAAACAAGTTCTGTCACGCCTCCAACCAAAGAGGTTTGGGTCTTGCCAATTCTATTTTTCAGGAGAGGACACAAAGCTGAAAGGAAATTAAGGGCCGTTAGGACTTCCCACAGTGGAGGGTGGAAAAGTCTTTACTGTGGACCCAGCCTGGGATGCATTTGCTCCTAAAGTGGAGAAAGGCCATTCTCTAGAGTCTCACCCAGCGGTGAGCAGCTGTCTGGAGGTTAAAGGCACTGAATGAACATCACTGCTAGTGTTCGATGGTCATTTCCTTCCCCCCACACCCCCCCGTCAAAAGTGGATTGAAAACAACTGGCTTGGAAAGCAATACACGTAGCAAGGAGGGCAGTGAGGTAAGCGGAGTCTGCTCTCCCCACAAGCACAGAAGTAAAATACGTAATTGTGTCATAAGCTGATAACCCAAGTGTTTCTGTCCTATAAATGACCCCAACGGGAAATCCCGCCAATGTGCCAAACGCCCAGAGGTCCTCACTCAGGTCACTGGGAGAGGCCCCTTTCAGCGACCGAGACACACAGTCCATCAACGCCAGCCCCTGTCACTGGCACCTTGTCGGGCTGCGTGGGGCAGGCACACACGATCTCCGCATCTTCAGAAGAGAAGTATTCGTTCTTCAGCAAGTTGTCCACCAGACACTGAGTGTTGCGGATGTGAGTGACCAGAAGTTCCCGGTTGATTTTCAACAATTTAATATGGGAGTGAGACTCTGATGGGATTATCCCCATCTCACTCTGTCCCTGCTTTTCCATGGCTAAAGGAGCAAGCGACTACTTTGCCCAAATTCATCTTTGGCTACATGTGTCTTCCTGGCAGGGCAATCAGGATCCAGGGCGCCTGCCTTCTCTCTCTGTGCCGCCCCTGAAGAGACAAACGAAATCACCAATGAAGCAAAAGCTATGGGAAATATCCCTCCCCTTCTCTTTGGTCCTGGAATTTCTGTACTTCAGCAGGAGGAGTCATGCTTAAGATGGTGATATGAGGGGCGCCGGCATGGCTCAGTCAGTTAAGCATGGGACTCTTCACTTTGGCTCAGGTCATGATCCCACAATCGTGAGATTGAGCCCCATTTCGGGCTCTGTGCTTGCGATAGAGTCTGCTTGAGATTTTCTCTCTCCCTCTCCCTCTGCCCCTCCCCCTCTCAAAAAAATTAATGAAAAAATAAATTAAAAAAAAGATGGTGATCTGAGATATATTAAAGAAAAAATCATAATTGAATTGTTTCTGCTTGTGGGTCACATGCCTAGGGAGGGTGACCAGAGGTAGACAACCTTTTGTATAGCAAAACTTCTTATCTTTTAAATAATAATAATAAAAAAAGCGTGCCTCAATCCCAGCCTGGGATAGAGATAAAAGGTATATTATTTTCCATAAAAAGGAAGTGGGAGCATCCAGAATTGGGAGCAAAGGAACCATGATTGGTTGTGGGGGGCGTTGAGGGTTGGTGGGAGAGAAGGTCTGAGCCCAAAATGGCCCAAGGAGGGAGACAGCCAGCATGAAGTCTCCTCTGGCAGCCAGAGCCCAAGAAGCTGGGAACAGGGATGTTGCCATCACTCTTGCCCGTTCCGGGTTGTTCTGTAGCCCTGCTGCACCACTGCTCCAGTGATCCTCACACCTCCAGCAAAGTCTGCCACATACCAGGCACCGTGGGGAACGAAGGAGGAACAATGGCCATGTGTGGAGTGACACACATGACACCCCTCAGCGGGGCAGAGGGAGGACAGGAGGGAAGGGGACTTGGACTTCCAAGTGGCAGATGACCAGGAAAAGCCATCTCCCTGGAAATCCTTGAAAATCTCATGTACCTGCTGAACTTCCTATCTGGGTAGAAACGGGGACCCAAGCCGTTTTATTTGTGTATTAAAAACTCATTTGGGTTCATCTGCCCTACCCCCAAATTGCACTGATTCCCTTTCTTGTCCCGAAAGACCCTTCCACCACTTCTCCACTCATCCTTGTATATATAAATTGGGTCACTGTCTTGGAAGTAGAAGGCCTTGAACAGGCCACTTAGTGCCTCATCAAGGTAGGAAAACTCACATTCCAGAGAGATAGTGCTTAAACTTTTTCGTTGAGCCCCGCCGCCCCCAAAATGATAGACTTCTAAACCCTGTCAGTGTCATTACTGTAGCTCTTATAAGCCCACATCTGTTAACAGTCAAGTCCAGCGGTTCTGGATTTCCGCCCCCAAGTCACAGATGAGTCTCCTGGTCTTTACACACATCCATTTTTCCTTCTTTTATCTATCAATTTCCTAAACTTTGCAAGCCTTACAGAGATTTCTCAATGGGACCCCACACAATAACTTTCCTTTTATAACCTGAGTGACTGAGCAAGAGATAGCACAATTTAACTCTCTAAGCAGCGGGAGGGCGGGACACCCTTACTGAAAAGAACTTTCAGTGATGGAAATGACTGGTTAGTTACTACTGTACTAGATGTATACTTGCCCCTTAGATGTTAATTCAGTCTTTTCCACTGTGGTCAACTGTATGACCAATTTTCGGATCCACGGCTTAGAAAACTGGTTCCCTGAAGGGATACCGGTGGGTAATATTAAATTAAATTAGGGGTTAATGATACTTTTTTAAGTTTCTGGCATTATTCTTTGAAGTAAATCAAAATACTTTAAAACAACTTCCTCTTCTGAAATCTTCAGTTTTCAATTTCTTCCCGGAATCTGCAAAATCAAAAAAAAAAAAAAAAGACAGGTTTCTTTGAAAATACTATTGTAATGAATGGTGAACGAACAAATGAAATTGATGACGGGATAGTTTTAAATCCAGAACTCTAGGACATTGAAGTCTTCTCTGTACCTTCTTCCTTCAGGACAATGTTTTCTAAATGTCATTCGGGCAACATATTCACTTATATATATATCTATTTTTGGTTATAACTGAGTCCTAGCTGTACTTTATTTGCTTAACTTTGTGCTTTAGATGGACTGTTTTATTTATTTATTTTGTTTTTCATTTGTTTTAGTTCTAGTATAGTTAACACACAGTGTTATATTAACCTCAGATGGACACTCTAGTGATTCCCCTGTGCTCATCACAGCAAGTGCACTCCTTAATCCCCATAAATTGACTATTTTAAAACTCAGATTAATTTTAAAGGAAATATTATATTACCATTATAAATGAAAACTATCATTTCAATAAATAGAAAGTAACACAAAAATAAATTTGCTGGAAATAAAATTATGCTATTGTATTCCACCTCAACAGTCCTGCATGGGAAGATCCGAGGTCTGAGGCCTGTTTGCTCGCAGGAGCATTTGAGGGTGTTAAAGACATAATAGCACAAAAGCGAGACTTTCTTTGCGCTGATCCTTCATCTGCGAGAACTGGAAAGAGAGCTGCCTGCCTACTTCATGAGTCAGCGTTGGGCAGGCGTAGCTGCCGTGCCGGAAGAAGGCTGGGAATGGGTGTTACGTTTCATCTGTTCAGACCTAGTCCACGTCCGTCCCATTTTACTCACAGCTCGTGTCTCTTCTGAGCCTGTGATTCACACAAAATCAGTGATTTTGCCCCTCAGCCTGCCCATGGTAACCCCGCAGACATCTCCTCCTCTTGCCATCCAAGGCAGAAACTTCCATGCCCTGATATACGGCCACCTAAGCAAAGCAACAAATCACATGTCAGCCAGCTAGCAAGGAGGCTGTTCTGTAATTTCCAAAGCCCCGGTTGGTGGAGATTTAATCAGGTTTGCAGAATGAGCTCAATTCAGTGGGAACTTAAGGTGTGGATGGTGGAAGAGGAAACAGAAGGCTGAACCTGGCCTGGTAAACAGAATCCAAGGGTAGACCAAATCTATATCCTGGGGCACTGTAGAGAAATGCACTTCATGGGCATCTGGTAACCAAAATACCAAACCGAACTGGGGATCTCCTGGCTCTCACAGGGGATCCATTACGGTCTTCACCTGGTAAAAGGTGGGTCTGGCTAGTGAAGACGGTCCAGTTGTCACGTCCAGGCAGACAGGAAGAGCAAGGTTGGGCCAGAGTCAGGTTTAGTGAGCTGGACCTGCTCCAGTGGCTGGAGCTCCCCCGCGGCAGTGGCGTAGAGCAGAGAGGACTGCAGGTGGAAATCCTGGTGAGGAAAGGCCACGAAACCACCAAACAAACCCCATTAAGCCAGTGGAGATGGCCAGAAAACAAGACCCATCACAGAATAAAAGAGGAAGATGAAGCAGAGAAATGAAGCAGAAAAGGTCAGGGGAGGGCTGGTCTACCACCTAAAGCCATCTTTCAGACAAAGGCAAGTGGGGGTAGAGCCTATTGGTGGGCAGGGAGCCCCTGGGGAGCTGAGGGGTTACATGGCACCCCCAACCCCTCCTCTTCTTCCGGGTTTTCTGATCTGCCCTCAGAGAGGTTTAGTCCCCAGGTAACCGAATCCCAGGTTCAATCCACCACCTCAGGCTCCTTATGGAGATCTGTGCCTAGGTCCCATCTTGCAATATGATCTTCTGAACTAAATATAAAGTCTGCAGAGCTTCCAAAAAAAGGCTCAGGGAAGCTTCTCTGAAGAAAACAAGAGGGCAGGCATTCGGAGGAAAAAAGAAGTAGAGACAGGAGAGAGAAACTCCGTAAGACTATAGAACAGACTGCTGAATAGAAACAAAATTCAAGCCATGTGTGTAATCTAAGATTTTCTAGTAGCCACAGTAATAAAAGAGAAATGAAATTAATTTTCATAATGCCTTAACCCAGTATATTAAATATCTTATTTCAGTATGTAATCAATACAGAATTAAATGAAATGTCTTACATTCATTTTTTTCATACTAAGGCTCTGACATCCAGTGTGCATTTTATACTTACAGCAGCTCTCGAATTGGACCAGCCCCACGTCAGGTGCTCTACAACCACCTGCAGCCCGCGACTACTGTGTTGGATGGTGTAGCTCCAGAGCAACAACTAGAAGCCGGGGTAGGAAGACATCACAGCTCCTGCCCCGTCCCCACCGCCACCTAAAAGACTGATGCCAGGAAGGACTCTGAATTGGCTTTTCAGATTCATTTCTCAGAAAGTCACTGAGGCAGGTAGTTAAAGAGGTGAGATCACAGACAGTTCTGTGAACTCAGAAAGGAAAGAAGTATGGCACCTACTGGTCTATAGTCGGCATACGATTCCTTTCAACTATCAGATAACAAATCCAAGCTTTGCATGCGGAAAAGATTAAAAGAACAATTTTTTGTCAAAAATGCTACTGATAGTATAGTGAGATAGGGACTTTCGGACACTGTGGGTAGGAATGTATCCTGGTGAAGACCATCTGGGAACCCATTTAACAGTATGTATCAAGAGCCTGTGAAAAGTTCGATTTAGTAACTTCTCATTCTAGAAATCGGCCTTCTGCAAATATTTCCTGTTCTAGAAATCTGCCTTCTGAAAAGATTCAGAGGTTCTGACAATTTTGTGTTTATTTTTTATTTTTATTTTTTTAAGATTTTATTTATTTATTTATTTGAGAGAGAGAAAGAGAGAGAGAAACAGCATGAGGGGGAAGAGGGTCAGAGGGAGAAGCAGGCTCCCCGTTGAGCCAGGAGCCCGATGCGGGACTCGATCCCAGGACTCCGGGATCATGACCTGAGTTGAAGGCAGTCACTTAACCAACTGCGCCACGCAGGCGCCTTGACTTTTTTTTAAACAAGTTTCTTCTACTTCTGGCTGTGATACAGTAGCTTGTGACTCCCACAGAGGCCAACTGTAGGTGAACTGATCAACAAATTGGGGTATGTTCATACCGTAGAGCACAATTCAATAAGAGATATGAATGAAATACAACATGAACATCACAGCTATTATGCTGCATAAGAAAAACCAGACTGAAAAGAGTATATAATATATGATTCCAATCATATAATTCTAGAAATCTGACCCTGAAATCAGAGCAGTGGTTTCCTGGGGTGGTGGGGGGTGGGAAGACAGGAGAAACTGACTGCATAGAGATATAAGAGAAATTTCTGGGGAGATAGAAATACCCTTTATCTTGACTGAAGTGCTATATATAGGTCACATATATGTGGGTATGTGTATAGAAATGAGTTTTTCAGGTAGAAGAAAAATGATCCTAAGACAAAAAATGAGAGCAACAGAAAGGTTAACGTGAGTAAATAGAAATGTGATTTGACCGAACAAAACAACACTAATTAATATCTTGGGGAGTCTAAAATATATACAGAATTAGGGGCGCCTGGGTGGCTCAATCATTAAGCGTCTGCCTTCGGCTCAGGTCATGATCCCAGGGTCCTGGGATCGAGCCCCACGTTGGGCTCCCTGCTCCGCGGGAAGCCTGCTTCTCCCTCTCCCACTCCTCTGTGTTCCGTCTCTTGCTGTCTCTCTGTCAAATAAATAAATAATACACACACACACACACACACACACACACAGAATTAGCATGTGTAACAGTAATAACACAAAAGGTGGAGGAGAATAAATGGACTTAGGTGTTCTAAGGTCAAAGCACTTTCTGGTGCTAGGCAAAAGTATGACTGTTTTATTTGTTTTTTTTTTTTAATGTCTCTCTCAAATAAATAAATAAAATCTTAAAGGAAAAAAAAAAGAAAAGAAAAACAAGGGTTTTTGGGTGGCTCAATCGGTTAAGGGTCCAACTCTTGATTTCAGCTCAGGTCATGATCTCAGGGTCGTTAGACGGAGCCCCGCATCTGGCTCCACACCCAGCGTGGAGCCTGAATAGGATTCTCTCCCTCCCTCTCCCTCTGCCCCTCCGCCACCCCTGTTCTCTCCCTCTCTCTCTCTCAAAAAAAGAAAAACAAATTCTCTCAACAAAGCGGGTTTAGAGGGAATGTATGTCAACATAATAAAGGCCATATGTCAAAAACCCGCAGTGAACGTCACATTCCATGGTGCAAAACTGAGAGCTTTTCCTCTAAGATCAGGAATTTATTTAGAACAAGCACACGGCCACTGCAGGTCCCTGTATTCTCCGGCTGCCCCCGCACTGTCCTTCGCTGGCCAGCCACCCGGAGAAGCTGGAGGGGAAGTAGGTGAGGAGTACTATGAAGCCACTCTTAGAGAGCGCTACTGCAAGGCAGCGCTCAGCCGGGGCACCCTCCCAGCTGAAGAGCACGGTGAAGGTGAGCAGGCCTGCCTGAAAGCAGAGACCTCAGGGTCCTTCGCTGGCTCGTTTACACTCCTCAGGCATAAAGGCCACTGTCCCCCTGCCATCAGGGGGCTCACAGACAAGAGAGACGACATCATCAACAGAAACCTAGCGGCACCAAATGCAAGGAAAACGGAATACCTGAAGAATGGGGGAAACAGAGCAAAGACTTCCACCTGAGGTGAACTTGGAACCCCAGAATGGAGGGAGGTCTGCCTTAGGCAGAAGTCTGGGGGAGGCCGGGGAGGCCCGGGGGGCTTAGCAGGGTGCTGTGGCTGACCCAAGGTCAGAATGCCTGTGCGGAGGTCACAGGGGCACGTCGGGGAAAGGATTCACTGAGAAAGGAATCCCACCTGGGGACAGAGCAACCGGGCCTCCTGTGCAGACCTGCTGCCTTTCAGTCCCAGAGTCTTGGGGAGGCCCTTCCCCCACACTCCGTTTCACTTTCTAAAGAGGGATTTTGCCCAGTGCCGCTGCTTTCTTCCTTCTCTACTATCCCCAGGGACCCTGAAAGTCAATGTGCATTCTTTGTAACCGAGATGCTAAGATAAAA